AGGCCAATCAATGGCCTGGGCAAAGGAAGCCTTTCTTTCAGTGGACTTTGGATTGTACAATTCAAGTATCATGAGCCTTCATATATTCGAAGGCCCCTTGTCTGGATCGGTGCGCATTGCTGAGCGAAGGATTTGTGCCCGAATGTTGCCAGATTGGCGCCTTGTGCCTTAACGGCTCCCGTTGTAAATCCTTCAAGCTTCGTCTTCCCTGCAGACGAGAAGGGCTTGGAGTTTGACAAGTACGGCATCATGATCAAGGTCAAGTTCAGGTGAGCAAGAGCCGTCTCCTCCATCCGGCTAAGCGCCGGCGGTCGGTGTCTTAACACTGAATTGCATTTGATTGTATTGTACTGGATTGTCCTTAGCATATCTGCAAACAGTGGCTTCCCGGGTTCTAATCAAAGCCTTACCACTTGGCCGGATACATGAAAGGTCTGGCGAATCAAGTTCCGCGGGCCATAGGCGCGGACTGGAAACGCGCCGCCTTGCCATACTAGTGAAATGTTAATTGCCGTATTAAAGTATCCCAGATCAACTTGAGAATCGTGTTGGAGCCCTTCCGGAGTTTGCAAGGCGCGCTCTCGCAGCGGATTACCAATCTCTGTCCGAACTTCAACGCTAAGTCTGCAATCCTTCACGCTTTAGGACTTTCCAGGTGTCAGTTCGTGCTAACTCTTTGTTGGCACTTTCACCACAGAGAGGGAGAGCCGTTGGCGGTGTTGAGCACGCAGCACCACTCGGGAGGGGTAAGTCTCGTATTCACACCTCTCCCCATCGCCGGTGTTTGTCAGTCCCGCCGCGCCGCTCTTTCTCATGGAGGAAGTTTCTCCGTTTAGATCCTGGCTCGACTACGGTCGCCTGAAGCTACTCGACCTTGTACGGTAATTCGCTCTATACCGCTTCCCCACTGAGTTATCTCTTGCGTTACCTTTGATTCACCCTTTCCATCCTAGAAAGATAAGTGCTGAGACGACTGCATACCACCTTTCTGTTATGCTGAAGTTAATCTTGAGACGACTGGAATTTAAGCCTGACAAAATTTTCCGTTATTGGCAGGAGCGGTCGGTGTCCACTATTCTGTACCTCATCTCCATGCAAGACCTGTCCAAGTGCCCCTTCCGGGTTGTCGACGAGATCAACCAAGGTGAGCGCCGTTTCGGAGCTCTTCCGTCTCGCTGGAAGCGTTTTCCGCACATCGATAAGATGCAGCGCGTGGCAAACCGGATTCTGCAAAGTACTAGTGCATCCTCCGATTCAAAGCGCTTCTTAGGCACAGCCTTCCTCACATGGCAGAATATCGCAGAATATCAATTCAGACCCTATCATGCTGTCCAATCGGCTTATGGAATTTCGAACCCCCGCATGCTTCGCCCCGAAACTTAGCTGCATCCACGTCAGTATACCAGTCCCAGTCAATTGGCAGTAAGAGCATCAGACGTTTTCTGCGTTACTTAAGTTGTTGTCGAACCTGGACTCCGACTGAGATTTTACTTTGCGCTTCTTTCCAGGCATGGACCCGAACAACGAGCGCAAGATGTTCCAGCAGCTCGTGCGCAGCGCCAGCCTGCCAGACACGCCCCAGTGAGCCCAGCTTCTCTTGTATTATTCTCTTCCCTTGCATCTCACATGATATATTAACAAGCGACCCGGTTAAGGGATACGCTAAGGGGTCTGTTCAGGTCTGGAAGGAATTAAGGTTCTGTAGCACTGCTATCCTATGGGCGAACCCAAAATGCTAACAGTGTGGAGCAAGGCGACTAATATCACACCAGCTTCTCTACTCCAAGTAGAGTATCATATTCCTCCTCTCAGCGCTGCCCCTGTCATTAGCTTTATCGAATATGCCTTAACAGCCCTCCCTTTCCCTGCAAGACGGATTTCTCTACTCGAGTCATAGTTCCCCCATGAACGAGTTTCGCTTGAGCGCAGACTGCATATGTCTGGCTGGATTACCTGCGGCCAGGTTGTGCACAACATTGAGCTTGAGGTTCTCGTGTATGGAGAGATCCCTTTCCGTCGTGCGCTGGCAGGACGGAAGACACTGCATTTTCGGTGCGTCCTGACTGACGCTCCTGATTGACTCGCTCTAGGTGCTTCCTGCTCACACCGAAGCTGCTGCCTGACTTGGACTACTCCCCGGAGTGCACCATCTTGAACATCATGAACGGGCCGTGGCTGGGGGACACCGCAAAGAGTGAGCCGTTTTATAAGACAATGTTCCGCTTCTCTGGATCACGTTGCTTGGAGTGGGCACGAGAATCGAGCTGGGGAACGGTTTCGAAGCATTTTAGCCCTGATGCGTCAGCACAAGAAAGTCGAGGAAGTCACGAGTTCGTTCGTGTCAGTCTTGCAAATGTTGTGAGCATCATCCGTTGGAGGGAGCGTAGCCGTGTTTTGATATGATCCGTGCTCGTTTTGAACGAGCTACGTGTTCCACTCAAACGAGCTACAAAATTCGACTCTCTCAGACTACGCGATGTCCAGTCTGTCTTTCTTCGTTCAGTCTGCGTTTGCTTGTAAACTAGTGGCTTGCTTCTACATCAGCATCCGATGCAGTCCATCGTAGAAGCTTGTCGGGCGATCTAAGGATGCCCTTTGCAAACGTATTAGTGATGCAAACCTTCTTTTGCTTTGCAGAGTGGAAACCTGACGAATCTCTTTTGGCCAACGTCGGCAAAGCCTAGAAGTTTCTGCAACTCAAGGCGCCATTACAGTCGGTCGACATGGTATCACGAGCTTGCAAGCTGAATAATGTCGTTTACTCACATCCTGTACCTTTGAGATGTATGAAACTGCCGTATCGACGAGATGTAATCCAATGACTCATGTGCACATCACCTAGGTAGTTGGCAATAAATCTTGATTCGAGCATGCATGATCCTGATTAGGCTGCAGGCTTAAGCCGATGTGTTTGCAATAGCATATTAAATCGCTCATCGTAATGTATGGTACACTTCTGTCGTTTTGGATGCCTGATCCCAGAAGCTCGGCGATCGACGAACCTTCAATTCCTCATATGGTTATATGACGCATGATTCAAAAGCTGTGTCAAGTTCGCATCTAGCGCTTCAAGTATGTGTGCATCGAAATGTGAACTAAGGGCTGCACGTCATCTTGTCTGAATCTAGGTACTCAAAGCTTTGATAAGTAGTAAAAGTTCTTGTGACATGATGCTCGATGTGTATAGCTAGTTTCAGATTTATCTAGTGATCCGTGTATAGTCGAGTCGATGTCAGGCAAGCTAAAAAACCGTACATTAGTTAAGCCTCATTTGGCCACGAGTCAGTCGCACAATGATGCGGAAATTACCTGGTGCGAATGATGATTTTCTCTTGCAAGATTTAAGCCTCAGGTTTGCCTAAATGACTAAATACCCAGATCTACTTTAGACGTCTAGCTGGACCCGGCAATGATAGCGTAATATTTGGCAACACAGCATCAGGCGTGCATGACGGCTTGTACCTACATTCACTGCTACATGCTGTAGACATGCTGGCTGCGGCCCATACGGTATACATCTCCCGAAGCTAGGCTGAGTCAAATAATTATAGCTTAAGCCAGCTAGGCGCGTTGCGGGCCGGCCCGCCGCCACCGTCTGGCAGCCTGTCACGGTGCATCATCATTCAATGATTGGTCCCGCTCAGTTGGCATGCAGGCCCGCGGCTATCATTATCGGCGGCGCCGCCGCGGCCGGTGGCGGGGCCGCCACCGCCCGGCCGCGCGGCGCCCGCACATGTTCACGGTTCACTGGTTCTGATCAAATCCATCAACGGTCCAAATGGCCCTCGGCGTCGAACGTCGATGCCGACTTGGACAATTAGTCATGCCGTCGATTTCCTTCAGTTCATAGTTAGCCCTGAGCAGACCAGACTGCGAGTCGGGGCCATCTGGCAACCTCCGGCTGAATCGATCAAGCACTTTATCCAGATTGGACGGTTCGATCTGCATATCAGCGCGCGCGCATGTTTATAGTCAGCGCTGACTCAGCTCAGTGTTGCCGGGCATGCTGACTCAGACGACGGACATGGTCAGCGTTGCAGATTATCATGATGCAATGCTAGGGACGCATTCAATGCGGGGCTTCTAGCGACCATGCAGAGCAATACTTCTGCTTTCTCTGCAAATTCTGATGCTGAATTCTTGTCAAAAGTTTGCGTCCTTTGAAGCTTCGTTCTGGTAGGCTGTGCAGAAGAAGTCGTCCGCCATTTCGTGCAGCCAAAGCACGAGAAGCGCTTTCTTGCACACGTCGCCACCGCAGAGAAGTTTGGTCTCGACAATGGCGCTCTTTCGGCAGTCCCTTACTCGGCTCGCACCTGCGAGCAGCAGCATCCTGCCTGCTTGCAGCAGCGCCCTGCGGCATTTTGCCACAGAAGCAGCCAGTGCAGCGGAAGGTGCAGAGAAGGCATCGGTGGTGAAGACGTTTGCTGGCAAGAAGAACGAGAACATCAAGATGAAGAACAGGGATCCAGAGAGGGCGAAGAGGAGGGAAGAGGCACTGATGGACCTGGGCCTGAACGTGCCAGGGGGTGTTACTGAAATCTACCACCTGAACCCCTCAAAGAAGTCTGCAACAGCGCCCCCCCGGTCAAGTTATGCGGTTCCTTTTGTCCATGGAAGTTTAGACTTCTGAGAAGACAGACATCTCTTTTTAAGACACAAGTTTCAGATCATTCTTTCACTGCGGTATCAGCAGAGTTCCATAGGTAGAAATTCAATCAGGTAGCTATGCAGAAGAATCCATTTGAAGTATGGCAGGATTCTTCAAGAACAGACCAGAACAAATCAATAAGAGTCGACAATCCATGTTCAAGGTAAACAGTCAATTTTGATCACACGGTGTCCAGTAATATAAAGTTGAAGAGAACAGACCAGCTTTTGAGGCATTTTGTCAGACTCTGACCATTAGAGGTACACTTTGGTTTGAGGTGCCATACAAGTGTCCCGCATCAGACATCAAGTTGGCATGTGTTTTGCTTGCACTTTTTTCTCAATCACAATCTCGTACCATTTGACTTCTTTGCCAGCATGCATGATGTAAAATGGTGGTCGTTTGGACATTCACCTGCATCGGGGCTGAGAAGAAGGAATAACAAGGGTCTGAAAATGTCAGGCTGTCAGTCCTGTATATAAGTATAGAGTTGCAAAATTGAAGCTTTGCAGACACTGCACAATGGTCCCTTGCTCCTTCATTGTCCATTTGCTTCTGTTCCTCCTGCCAGGAGCTTGTGCCTGCCGCCTGTGATAGCATTCAACGATTCAGACGACTGTAAATTGCATGTGCCAGCATCAATTAACATGATGCATGAGCCCGCTCTCTCAATGCGTGATGTTTCTCCATGAAAGCTAATTCGTTCAATAGTTCTGATTGTTGGGTTGAACGCAACCTAACATTGCCAGCAAGCTAGCTGCAGCTATAATCATGCCTGTTTCAAAGTTTATCGAGAGCTGTCACGTAGGTAGAATTATGATATTCCGCGATGCATGCTAGCTCTGAAAAGACGTGAATTGGCAATTGATCCTGCCGGATATTCTCCAACACAAAAAACGCTCGCAACGCACATATCCGTTATGCACAAATGTTAATGTAGCTGCCATACGTCGCATCCGTGCCCTAGCTATAGCTGCACACCGCGCCGAGCGCCATATAGTGTAGGACAGTGTCTTCAGACCATCCTGTACGCACAAGAGTATAGTGCCCGGCCGCCTTCCAGGCTGCTGGCAACCGTCAAGGAACTGCTGAACCACCAAGTAGGTAATGCCATAATTAAACATGGTTGCATGGCGTATGTTTACCTGGCAGTGGGATCAAAACAGTCGCGCTCTCATCAATTCATGCACGACAAGCACACGCACTTATGGATCCTCGCAAGATGATTAATATCTGTGCCTCGCGAGCTGTATTGGGAATGACTGTGTGACGCGGTCTACTGTATAAGGAAGCGGACGTCTTTTGATGTGTTATAGTCTTAACCGGTCAGCAGTTACAATGATGCCGTCTATATCCGTGGAGGGGTAGTTTTGAAGAAGTTTAAGGTTGTCCGTAAAGTCTCCACCCAGGAGGCGCGTCCGAATGCAGATTACCATGGCGCAGCAGAGCCGAAGAAGGATCTCCTGCAAAATGGCGAGTTTTAACGTAACTTGCCTGGACGCACCGGCGAAAAGCAGATAGCAATCGCTCATCTTCATAAGGAGAAAAGCGAGGCGACAGTAGTGCCGGTTTCTTGGCGGAAGGAGCGAGACAGACTGCATTGGACAGCCATTGCTCTCCTGTCGTATATAGTCTAGGCTGCCGGTCAAGAGCTGGTCTTTCAGCCACATCAAGCGGCCCTGAGAAAGAACTGATCGGCTACTCCCTAGATGATCACATCATTCACTTCTTACAGAGCCAGCCGTCTCGACCGCCGCAGTCGAAATGACGAAAGACAGTCAAAGCAGAAATGAAGCTCCGAGAGTATCTCGCAAGCATGCTGAGCAGACTTTTTCAGAGCAGAAGTCAGCTCACCAGGGGACCGTCCTTGTTGCTCAAAAGCGTGTCCCATAATCGCAGGCAGTCCGGAAAGTCAAACTCTTGGGTTAGGAGGAGGGTTATCCAACGGAAGGCGTAGAACTGCGGGTTGATCTGCAAAGGCAGCGGAGAAAAGGTCGTTTCAAATGATTCGCAAGATGTTTACAAGACCGCTGGACAACAATATCCGTGATGCCAATCTCTTACAAAGTGGCTGCAAATTTTTGTTATGAAACAAGTGGCGCTTCCCTTTTCTTCCCCGTTCCTGGAAGTGCCTAGACAGATCGCCGACTCTGTTCGCTGCATCATTTCGATGCCGGATGCATGGAAGTAATCCACAAGCGTCCAGACTGGTCGAGACCAATACGAGAACGACTGCCTTAAGCAAGTTCAGATGACGTCACCTCTCACCTGTATCTTGACGTTGAGGTGCAACCAAAGCTCCTCGTCGCGCTGTTTGAGCAGGTTAGAGAGGCGGGTTATGGTGGCCCGGATGCCGACCTCGCTGTTGTCCAGCTGCTGACAAAAGTGGTCCCGGAAGTCGCTCAGCAGCTCCACGAAGCAGAAGAACGCGTCCGCCTCAGCGTGCTCCTGCAAATTAGAAGACGCCACGTGGCACACTGTCCAGCAAGGTACCTAATCTTAGTTTGAATGAGAATAATTATAAGAGCCCAGCAGCTCCAAGAAGCACGAGAAAGCATCCGCCTCCGCGTGCTCCTGCAAAGGAGAAGACGCCACGTGGCACACTGCTTAGCGTTATTTGCGAATAAGTTGTCCTAAAGTAGACAAAGCTGATTATGTAAGGTCGACAGCTCCACGAAGCAGAAGACCGCGTCCGTCTCAGCGTGCTCCTGCAAAGGAGAAGTCGCGATATGTGAGATGCTGTAGTATGATTGTGCAATGGTTAGCCAAGGCCAAGTGTGAGATACCGTAGCATAAAATGTGCGAGAAGTTCTTGGCAGGAACTGCTCAGAAGTACGCTCGGCGACTCCAATGGGAGACCTTCACAATCGGCCCAACTGAGCACCAACGGTCAAAACGCCGGACATGCCTTTCACTTGCAGCTCGGCGGAGGACACTTGTGGAAGGGGAGTGGGAGAAGCTTGCTGGTAACGCCCTGGGTCACAATGTGGGACACGTAAGGTCGACCGCTATTTGGATTGTTTGATTCTTAGTATTACACAAAGTTAAACGTAAAAGCTAATCACCAAAGCTTCTTCATCCAGAGGCACAAACGAAGCTCTCAAACGTCTCCTCGGCTCTCCCAACCTTCTTCAGAATGTTCTCAAGAAAACGACCCGAGCACCGAGCTTGGTATATGAGAGACCAATCTTACTCCAATGCGTCAAACGGCTTCAACACAAAACTCTGAAGCTGGTGCCTCACCTTATTCTTGTCGTCTGGGTCCGTTCGGAAGATGTACAAGAGCGGGGCCAGGACTTCGTTCATTCCTTGGACGTACTTGATGCCCGGGTTCAGCTTCGCGAAGATAAACAGGATTCGGCCCAGGGCCCCCTGGAACGGAAGCAAAGTATTGTCAGAACGGACAACTCTTTGGCCCCCATGAATGCTTAGAAGGGATCTCCTTTTGAGCAGGGGTTTAAGGAGGATCACCACAGCGGCTCAATCAGCGACCGAGGGAAATTCTCTGTGGGCATTCTCACAGCAATTCATTCAAACCATTCATGAGAATGTGAGACAAGACGATTGATAAGTAAGCGTGGTGCGGAACTAACAGAAGATTTGAGAAGCGTTCGTCGGGAGAGCTTGTCTGGAGTTGGCACTTCGCAGAATGAGAAGTGAGCGCACGAATGTTAGCTTATATCCGCAAGCGAAGACGCGTGCCCGCGCAGCATGCGCGGCGCGCGCCGACTTCGAAACGGAGTACGGTTCGTGCCAGAGAACCGACAGTCTTCGCTACTTACAAACTTGAAAAATTCAGAAGCTACATTGAGCAAGGTACCCCGGGAGGTACTCTCACCTGGTTTTCGTTCGAGCCCCCGTCTGCGCCGTTGAAGAACGGCAGGTCCGGGTGTGTCCGTTTGACGTCCCGGTCGATCTGCTCCCACAGTTCTGTGTCCTGGAAGAACTGGTGCCATACGCTCGCTTGGCCGCTCGCCAGGGGATGGTCCCCCTCTACCGACTCCCGCCGAAGCTCCCCCCCGGAAGGGAGGTCGCCGTCTGAAGCTTCCGAAGCGCGCGACTTTTCGCTCTGTACGAAAGGGACCGTCTGATCTACACATCTTATCTTCCTTCAAAATTGCGGGTTGACGAGTTGACTGGCTAATTGCGGAGCATGGTTCATTTCAGACAAGGTGCTATGTCATACGGGAAGGGGTCAGATGTAATGCGTCTCCGCTGAACGCAACCTCTCAACGCCAAGCATTTCAAACTTTCCAAGACCGATTGAGTCTCATTTTAAAGCTGGATTCGCCGGGTCAGAAGATCAAGAGTCGGACTCTTTTAGAACGAGGTCCACAAAAATGGTCAGGAAATTGATTGTGTCAAGTTCTTGGAGGAGTTGAAAACGCCGCTGCCAATCCAATCTGACTGAAGGCCAATTCAACCTGGCAGATGAGATGCGTACAACGAGAAAGTAATCAGGAATTTGAGGAAGAAAACGCTGCGGGAACAAACTCACGGGGTTGACAATCAGTTCCTGCGAGAACTGCGCGTATTGCTCCCGCTTTTTTGCGAGCTCTTCTTCCCACTGGCTGCGGATCCGGGGGAGATAACCAAGGAGGAGCTGCAAAAAGTAGGAATCGTTCTTCTTCTGGTTATGTATGTAGACTTGGGTTGTTCTTCCGGTGAAGACAGCCTGCTTCAAGCTTACCCTCCGAAGATACTTTTCTCGAAGGTTGTTTCTGTCATCAGATCGTTGTCCATCTCGCTGTTCGACACCTTTCGCCGTCAAACGCTGAGCTTCTAGCCAGACCAAACAATCGTCAAGGAGAAAGTTAAACGTTTACAAGAATGCCCTGGCAGAAGGCACAGCGCTCGAAGAGATGCAGCCGCAGCAAGGTTCGGCTCTGACTCTCCTGCACAGTATGTCTGCTGATCTAGTCCCCGATCGATCGTCCAGAGTGCACCCACAGATTGTCACTCAATCCTTGAAATCCGGTGGAATGAGCATACAAAGATCAGAAGCTGAGTAACCTTTCCAAAACGAAGCTAATAGAGGTCACCATAACGTCACTCCAACAAGTCAGTCATTTGAGCACATTAACATCAGAACAGCGGGCTCTTTGGTTCACCTTCCAAACCACAGCCCGTATGCCACCACTGTCTGGAATCCCTTGAGTAGCCAATTGGCGCAAGGCGTTTAGGTCAATGCGCGGCTTCTCCAACTGCAATCAAACCAAAACGGAAGCTGCTTTGTCACTTGACGTGGGCGTTTCGATGATGTGCATAATGATTTTCGGGCATCATGCCAGTGCCTGACGAGGAGCAACAACTTTGGGGCTACCGTCTGCAGTGCGCACTCGTCAAGCGCGACGAATCTGTTCTTGATTGGTGTGAATGCGATCTCGGATAGTGTGGAGCTCCTCGGCATCCCATCTGAATCCCAAAATTTGTTTTGAAGGGGGCAGTGGGCAGTATTCAAACACTCTGATCAGCCGTGTCGGATTCCTCTAGCACATGTCTGACTGGAAGTGTCGTCCGTCCAATATCTGCAACCCTCCGCGTTCCCTCCTCGTTCTGCTTCGCTTCTCAAAGACCTGCTGCCAAAAATGATCCACAACCAACTTCCTACCACCATCTGCGTGAGACAAATTGTAAGCTATATACCCCTTTTCCCAAGCCTCTTGTGCCCCCTTGGCTTTGCTGAAAAGTCCAGTCGCTTGGTCGCTGAATGCACCCCTACGGATGCTTTGCCCACCATACTGCCACCATCTGATCTTCATACGACAGTAACCAACCATGTAAGATCTATTTCCATATTGGACGTAGATTCCATCATCAGATTTTCCTTCAATGCATCCAACTTTATCAATGTCACTCAAGTTCATCAAGGCCTTTCGCACCCCATGCCAAGGGCTTGCCAAACGGCGCACTGTCAGAACGTTACCCCGAAACATGATTACAAAGCATCTCCGACCCAATGCACGGTAGCCGAAGCAAGCCCCAAAAAAAGATACTAGAAAATCTCTAAACGGGTAAAAGCACAGGTGAGCAGCCCCTTGAGTATCGGCCCACAACCAGAGATTGTTAAGCACATTACGCACACAAGGCCTTCTGATGCAATGCAACTGCCCTTTTCACGCATTGATCAAGAAACAGAAGAAAACTGCACAGGAGTCAACAAGAAACTGTCACCTCCGCCTGCAATTGTTCGGCCCTCGAGCTCTCGCTCCTGCTGACGTCGTGCGACGTCGCCTCCTCTTGCTGCCCGCTGCTGCCAGCTTGCATCAGCGGGTCGGCTCTCTCGACCAACGCCTCCACCAAGGGGGGCCGTGGCGGGGGGGGCGTTTCGGGGGGCGTTTCGGGGGGCGATCGCGCCCGAGGGCTAAAGCTGCTGCTGTTCAGCCAGGCGGGGACGCTGCTCATCTTGGCAAGACGGCGAGGAATGACTTCAAAGAGACGCGCCAAGTTTGAAAAGGGAGCCCCACAAAGCGTCAGAAGGAGACCCTGGAGTCTGGACGCTGGCCCAGGTTGCGAACTCAAGCCCGCTGGAGTTGGTCACAGCTGCCCGGAATTTGCGTAAAACCCACACCATTGCCGCGGCCGTAAAGGTTCGGTCTGCCGTCTTCGTCGCCGAGTGCCAGTGCAATGTAGAGCCACGTACGGTATGCTGAGCGACGTGAACCGTGACCGAATCGCCGGTTTTTCTTCCACCCTGCTTGATTGCGGGTTATCAAAGAACTGGGTTTGGACGTTTCCTGCATTCTGCAATTTATTTCGTGAATGCACTGAATTCACTAATTCCCTGGACGAATGCAGCACAGGCAGCAGCATGATGCGTCATGGCGGTTATGGTCCCCCCCGCCTCTTGTCAGTCTTCCTCCTCCTTCTGCTGAGTGCCTGGGACTGTACGACTGGCTCCTCTCACTGTACGTTGAACCAAGCAACGGGCGTGACGAGCTGGCGGGGGCTGCGAAAGGCAGCGTTGAAGTGCCCCCCCCAGATGGAAGCGCGTTTTTGGATCTGACGTGGGCATTGGACGGGTGAGAATGGGGTGGTGCGTTCGCTAGGCAAAATTTGATTGGGAAATTTTCAAAAAGCTGCTCTGGTTTGGTTCTTGATAAAGTAGCTGGGCAGCCCCTTTGGGTTTAGTTCCTCAGGGTGACTGCTGAATGTTGCCTTGTCTGCTTGCTTCACGTTTTCAAGGTGCCACATTTACTCGAAAGGTGGTGATTATCATGCTTTCTTCAAAGACTTCTTTTGTGTTTCCTCAGCTCAGATCTTGACTGTATTCCATTCCCTGGGGACTTGTCCATCCAAATGTTTGTCGTTGGTGTCTTTAAGATGTTGCGTCACTTGCTGAATTAGCCTTGCAAATTGACACAATGAACGAAAGGCTGCATTCGTCTGCAATAACCTCATGCCTTCAAATGTTTCCGTCCATTCACAAGTTGCCCTCACTTTGAACATTCAACAAAGTGCCCTCATTTTGAACGGCTATTTCAGAAGATGGTGGAAAGTTCGAGAGATCTGTGGTTCTTCCGCAAGTTAACTTTTTTCACAGAGCTCAGACAATTGCATTAACCATTGTGACGGTTAATCGGCACCCTGTGAAATGAAGCTGCGGCGGCCAAATGGGAGGAGGCGCAGAAGACGCAACCGGGAGCCCGAAAGGGGCACTCCGAAACGGTCACCCGACACGTATTTTCAGAAGTCTCATTGAGTAAAAGCGGCTTGAAAGTTCCGAGAAGGCAGATCTTAGAAAGAGTGTTTTGTCTGCAGACAAAATGCACTCTGGCAGACGGGGCTCGCCAGCGAGTTTGCCCAGTTTCGGGAGCGGCTGTCATGCTTGTGCTCGGGCGCTGAGTCAGCGGAGACCGCATGCCAGTAAGTAATCAACTCGCTCTTGTTGACGAAACTAGTGCTGACGGGATGTTTGCCTCAAGGATGGTAGCCAAGAACGTGAGGAGACCCTCTTCTTTAAACGGATAAGGGTCTTTTCCTTTTAATCATTCGTTTCGTTGGTGGTACAACTTTTACATAGTGAACCACACGCTTGGCTCTTAAAGCTGGGCGTTTGTTTGGCATTCCTGAGAAGGGTGTTCCCATGGGTTTATGTATTTGGGTCAACAGCGTTGTCTAGGCCATTCTGACTGAAACTTAGTGGTAATTGAAGTGTTGTACCTCTCTGTTGAAGCGCCCATCTGACGAACCCTTCACGAAGTGCGCTTGCCTTGTTGGTTGATCTGTTTTGCACATCCAGTTTTCATGCTTAAGGGGCTGCAGCCAAATTCGAATCGCAAGGCGCGACTGATTTTCCCCAAATGCAGCCGACCTGTATGGACAGAACAACGTACGCCTCGAGATATGCTCTTTTGGCATCTGAGTTTTGCCTCCTCACGTGTTTGTCTCTCTGTACATCGGCGGGTGGAGTCCACGACATAGCTGCACTTTGATCCGCACCCTATAAGTGTCCAATTTGAACGAATTTTCACAAATTGTCTTCGCTTTTGTGACAGGGCGGGGGTTTGTACCAGCCCGCAGTGCGCCTGCGGCCCCTTTTCCCCAACCGCTTGGCCACCCCCCCCCTCCCACCCCTTAGAAAGTTTCCCCCCACAGCAATCTGAACCATTTTTATCGCGAGCCGAATCCTGGTCGTTCATTCTCGGCACGAGCACGGCCGCGACCGTCAATCTGTTCAAAAGCGTCGGGGGCACTTCACACCAGAGTCTATTCAACTGGGGAACAGGGTCTGGTGTGACCAGCCTCGGGGCGGAAGCCTGCAGTTGCGGGGACCGATACACGCCCGCTTGTCGGAGTTGTAACGCAAAGGGGGGGCGGGTTGCAGGGCCGAACGTCCCCCCTGGAAGATCGGGAAGGGACACTTTGCTGATTAGGTCTTCCTACGCCAGGGTCAGGAGGCTCCGATTACAAAAGGGGGGGTTAGCGCTAACCCGGCTTGGTTCAAACCCAAGCGAAAAAAGAGGAAACCCGGGGTTATACCTTTCAGAAGCTCCGGTTCCACGCTTTGCTCCTTCCTCAGAGGATGCCATCCGATCGCTCTTTTCGGACGTTCACTTATGGGAGTCTGCTGTCGAACCCGAACCTCATCTTAATTTCCTTTTCGAATCCTACGGCGGGCCTGAATCTGCGGTCAAGCTCCTCGACCGCTCGGTTAGCGCTCACCCGGGGGATCCCTCTCTGTGGAACGACCTGGGTAATGCGCACCGGGCGATGGGAAGCGCGGGCCTCGCGGCGGAGTGTTTTAGAATCGGGCTCGAGTTGCAACCCCACCCGGACCTGTTTCTAAACCTGGGGAGCGTCGTGTTTCGGGCGGGGCGGTCAAACGAGGCGCGGGAGCTTTTTGAGGCGGGGCTGCGGCTGAACGGGAGGCACGCGTTGCTAATGTTTGCTGTGGCGAGCACGCATGCTGTGCTGGGGCGACTGGTGAGTCTATGGAAAGCTAAGCTTTATAACGGGTTAAGGACGGCTGTTTGAGATAGTTACCGGTTTTGGGTATGCTCTGACGGGGCAGTTTCAGCACAGGTTGAGAAGCCGATGTTTATGGCAATTCGCAGTGACTGGCGAGACTCCGAATGGCTGGCTGGCTACGATATGGGATGCCAGCTGGAATCTGCGCACTCCATTTTGATGTGTCCTCGAGAAGGTGGCTGAGGAGCATCAAGAAGGTCGTTGAGATGACAGAGCTGGGGCCTCGTTTGTTGTCTGTCGTCGCCAGCATTCTCGTTGGAAAGGATTACTGGGGCTGTGAATTGTCGATCTGTTTTTACCAGCAATTTCGTTCTAAGTAGAAGTTGCTTCGGATCTGCTGGATCTGCGCTAAGCACCAGAAATACGCTCACGGTCGCGTAAATGCCATCGCGACCAAGTTTGCCTAAGCAAAGGCGCTGTTACTCCTACTTAGAGATTGGTGTTCTTTAACCCAGTGGCATCTGATGTTCTGCTTGCACGGCGGCCATGCTGAGAGACCGGGCGTTATTGTTCCTGACAGTGAGGAGCTTCGTTTCGAGACGTACTGGCTTTTCTGCAAGACTCTTGCCGGTTCAGCTCGTTTTGATTGGAGCTCCGCAAGCACTAAGCCTGCAATTCCATAACTTAATATCAACAGCAGGAGACCGTGTAGATCAACTGAAACAACGTACAAGTGGATGCGTAAAACTTGCCATTGAGTTCGGAATGCCCGGAGCTTAGTCTCTCATCGCAATCCGCACGATCAACGATGGCATCTGACGGCTCAATGTAGCCGCCCACAACTCAGAAGTCTGGAAAGGGGGGGGTGCCAAATTCGACGTAAAGTAATGAATAAATTGCTTTCCCTCATTTTCTTGATGTTTTGGAAAACCGCGGTACTTAAAATTTGAATCAGCCGCTTTTTTCCAGGACGACGCCGCCCAATGGTTCGAGCGGCTCTTGGCATTGCACCCCGGCTTCGCCGAGGCGGCGCTGCAGCACCGTTCGATCCGAAATCGGCGGCTGAGATCGTCACCGAAGTTCCTGGGCTTTCTCCTCGTGTTGGGGGCGGCCGTGCTGCTCATTGGATATGCGGGCCTCCGAATCATCCGCGTAAGGATCTGCAAGGTTTATAATGCTCATGATTGCTTTTATGTCTGGCACCCGGCTTTCCATTTTTGGACCATGGTATCCAATCATAGACCGTTTTTGGAAGGGCAAATCGTGTTCCGCACCGGAGATTCAGATTCGGAATGTGGTGCCATACTGAAGCCAGCCCGCAAGCATCGAGAATTGAGAGGTTCTCATTGCCGAAGGAGCAGAAAAGAAAGTTTCGAAGTGAGAGCCTCGAGTAAAAGCGAGGAGTGTTTTACCATCTTCTCTCGGACTTATTCCAATCGGTTAAGTACCTCGAGGCGTCGCACGTTGCCTCCCACTTGTTTTCCGGCGAGTCGGGATCGAACCTTATGGACGACTCACAGCTCACGCTTGCAGCAGTTTTGACGAGCTACCTTCGCGGCCTTCGTAGACACTTCCGTCCTGCCACTCTTGCAGTTTCTGGCTTTTTCGTTCCACTCTACCTTCTCTATCGTTCCTGTCCCATTGGCCCGCTGACGTTACACTAATTTAGGGAGTCCGTCTTATTGCCGCCCTATTTCTAGTTGCGCTTCAGCTCGTTTGGCGTTGCTTCTATTGAGCTCAGTGTTCAGTAAGCTCCTCAAATACTCAAAGTTCGATACGTTCCCCGAGACATCAATCATCAGACCTTCGTTTATACTTTTGCGGCTTGATAATTCTCACGTCGCAACTGCTGGTATTTGGCTTGGCGGTCTGCTAACGATCGAGCGCTCTTTGCCTCAGGTGTCGATACCTAAGCGCCACGTGGCAGTTCGGCGGTCGCCCCCTTCTCCAACCGGATCCAAAAAGAAGAAGCGGCTCTGAACGTGCTGTTTTACATTACTCATGCGACGGGCTGATATTTTCCAACGACGGGCCATAAAGTTATGGCCCTTGGCGTGACTCGTTGCAAGGGCACTGCGCAAACACCGATAATAGGACGTACACTGTACAGTGCCATGCACAGTATGCAATGATGAGCTGCCGCCGCCCCTGAAGTGGATTGGCAGCATCGTAAAACGGTTGCTGCAGTGTAGCTTGGCAAATTACCGCATTCTGAGGTGAGAAAACTGCAAGCTACATAAGTCCCTTCAGGATGATTGTACTACTCGCTGTTTGAATCAGTCCGTTGACCGATTTGCGGGTGAGGCCGGCATGCACGTACTGGCAACTCCCTTGTCTCATAAGGGGCTTGTCTCCTAAAATTCGAAAGCCCCGGGCAACTCAACTAAAAACCCTAACCCAGACATTACGCGCTCCGCACCCGTCCCCACCCTAACCACCAAACCAACCCTACCCGTCCCCCGGGCTGTGAAGCTTAGGAGACAAGCCCCTTAGGAGACAAGGGAGTTGCCACAATGGCATGCACTGCTATTCTCGTGCTTGAGGGCAAGCTGCACTGCATGAGGCCGGGGTCTTCGGTAATGGACAATGCCATTCCGGAACCCCGAATTTTCCCGATCACGTACCCTGCTACCCTTGTTGACGGATACGACTGTCTCTAATTTCTGAATGATTCAAAGTCAATCCGCTTTTGCGGGAAGGTCACCCCAGCCGAGCTCGATTATACATCAAACGTCCTACGGCACAGACATCGGAGACAGGCTGTGAAACGAAAGGAACTATTCAGAGGGCTCATTCAAGCATTGCTGCAGCTGGCGGGGTCACTAGCTGTGAGTTGGTATCGACTTCTAGCTATGGTGCATGCTCAGTGTTGCCTATACAGAGCTTAGTAGATCTACGTAAGCTAGTTATATGCACGGGCCGCGCTCAGTAGCTCGTAACGGGCTGCCATGCGCTGAATTGATCACTTACCATGATGCATATTAATGATATGTGACTGCATGCAATCAACTCGGATATATACATCCATGCAAGTATATACGACTAGAGTTCTGTTTGGCAACTAGCGACGTATGTAGCGGCCGCCCATATCACGTACCGAATTCACAATCTTCCGCTTCCACGATTTTCCGCCATGTCACCACGCCATGCAGGCCTTATATATGCTTACTGGCGTTTGAAAAGAGAACATCATTGCCACGATGCCATGATGATGGTACCTCAGCAACGTATATACCACCTCATGGTCTCGGCGCGTATTGAACTCTTTCATACTTAATTGTGCACATTGAACTTCAGATACACGGTCCCATGAGGTCCTGCGGCTCTATTAGTAGGGAAGGTATCATACGTACTTAAAGTAGTGAGAAACTAAGTTCCGTCACGAACATGAACTCACTCGGATTCTCGCCATGAGAAAGCTCATGAAATGTAAAGCTGAAGTATTTTATACAGCTTGCTCCAGATGGCAGCGGATCTCTAACAGTAAACCATGCACGTCAAGGAGGACGACAGGCCATGCTGAAGCTGCTTTTGTCCTGGCAGGTTTTTTTCTTTCAACGAAGCCGTGGGCGGTAGCTTTACTCAATTTCATGACTACTAAAGCAAGCGCGCGTACGATTTACTCAATCACAAAAAAGTCACGGTCTAGTGTTACCATACATAAAATCACCTCTAATGAAGACATCAATCTTTTTCGATACTCCAACATTCATGACCGCGTCTGAATCGCGTCACGCACCCTGCCCTAATAGGGCCTATGCTGCAGCTCACACGAGCACTTCGATACGCACCGAATCAAGCCTCATCGTCTGATCCAACCGGTTGCTCCACTTCGGGCGGGTATGGATACACGTACTTCGCAAACGTGTCGTAATCTTCTGCAACCAGCTTGGCGTGGTGCGATACCACACCCCATAGCAGGTCCTCGAACTCCTCCATGCTCTCCCCGGCGGTCAGGCGCTCTAGTTCGACGCTGAAGTCAGGACGGCCCTCGGTCTTGCCCTCCAACGCAGCCGCTGATCAATACAGCAATAAAAAGTCGTGAGTTGCGTTTCGTGTCCAAGTTAGTCGAAAGGCCAAGGATTCCAGATCCCGACTGATCTCATGGAGGGTAACGGAACGGGTGGGGTTGGCTAGGGGGTTAGGCTGGACACAGGTACAGAGCGTGTTAACTTTGGGATGAGGGTTTTGGTGAAGTAATACCCTTCAGGGCGCCTCTCCTATACAACATCGAGAGGTCCGTATTTCGGAGAGTTCAATGCGGCCTGCATTTCCTTTCCACGACCACTCGTAGTCGCGAGTACTCGTGTTGGAGCGCCCGTACTGGACAGCTGCCGCTGGTGTGCTTTCATCACACGCGATTAGCCGAAGTGTGAAAATGCTGCGGTGCGCGGAAGAGGAGGGTACGAATAATGCTCCACTCGAAATCGAGCAAGCCCACGACACCGTGCAGTCAGCTGGACTTTCGACTCTCATCGTAGATGACTTCGACCATCACTAGCCCCGGGACGACCATGAACTTCTCGAGCCGGACGGTCTTTCGGATGATGCGAGGATGACGAAAGCAGCGCTCACCTGCTTGCGCGTGAGAGACGGCCAACACTCGACCCCACTGCTCGGCCATCTCCTTGAAGCCCTCCGTGTCCTTCAACGCCAGCTCCTGCAAAGTGGGCCAACCACGATACTTAGCGACTAGGGATCTTGTTATAGGAACTCCGTAGGCGGCAACACAGGCTAGTGTCTGAACCGACGAAGCTCCTGGTCAGCGGCCAGTGCGCCTGCCAACACAGGCATGAAAAATTGCAGGTCCGACAGAAACCTGGTCGCGGAACCTGATTCTTAACCTCATTATAGTGTTTGTTTTTGACCTGCCTTTTTTAACTGGTGCCATTCGCAAACCTGAGCCTCTCGATGATGCAAACCCAGCCATCCAACGGCCCAGAATTTGCTGATGGTTAATATCAACCCGGATCCGAGGGCCAGGATCGACGAAAAGTGCAATAAGTCGATCGGCCCAAGCAGCATCTTACGACAGTGCCTTTGAGGCTCATCGTATAACCGAGCAACTTCACAGACAAAGACAATTCGTGAGCTCCGGGCGAACGTATCCATACAAGATTGACAAACGTGTGATATATGTGGAGGAGTGTCGAAGGGTCGCTTGCCGTTCTAAGAGGAACGGCGCTTATGAAGAAGAAACGTCTGCATAGAAACAAGGTTCGCTCACCTTGAGGGGCCCCTTAGCGTCGGCGGGCAGCACGGGGTACGACGACTTTTTGGGCGAGATCTCGCGGACCGAGTAGAAGCCGTCGGTCCAGCCGACAAAGCTCTCCGCGTCGTCCGCAGTAATCTCGATCCACCCCAGGTACGGGTCCGCGTCTGACATTAGCACTCTGCAGAGAAGGAGGCGGGGTGACGTCAGCAGGGATTTGAGGCGGAGTGAACGGGAAAGGTGGAAGCAACGGAGCGGTTTGCAGCGATGGCAGCGGTTTAAACAGGATTGACTCTCTGCTCGCTCGATTGTATCTTTGGAGAGGTGAAGTGCAACGCATCAGAATTCGAGGACAGGATAAAGCGGCTCACTATTCAAAACAGAAGATATATTGGTGCTGTGCACAAGTTATTACGCTCACAACTGCCCTCGAACATTGAATCATGCAAAGCAGCAAAATCTCGCACGATCGCAAGGCCAAGCATGCTGCTCCACTCACTTCGCCGCATCAGCCGTCCGCTTCGCGTCGTTCTCGTACCGCTTCCGGAACGCCACCCGCTCGTCCAGCCGCATGAAATGGTACGCGCTCGCCTGCGGCTGCAGCTTCACGTCCAGAATGATCCGCCCCTTGTAGTTGTTCCCATCCTTTTCCCCCCCGTCTTCCTCCCCCCCAACCTCCCCCCCGTTTTGCTCTTCCCTATTCCTCCGGGTCTGTGTCCCTGCTCCCTGTTCCCCACCAATCTGCCCCTCCCCGTTCCCCGTATTACGCTCCCCCTCACCTACTAGATCCACAATGGCGTAGAACCGCTTCAGACCAAACGCCCCGAGGCCCTGGTACAGCCGCTGTGCCACGTCGCGCACTCTGATTCGCAGCCCTAGTCGCTGCGCATACTGCTCCTCCAGGGCTTTCCGCACGATTTCCGCCTCAGCCGGCTGGCACCGGTGCAGCTTCTCCGCATTGCTGATGAGGTCGAACCGCTCGGCGCGCCCGTCCTTCCGTCCTACGAAACGACGGAATGACGTTAGCACGAAACAAGAAAGTTGGATTCGGGTCTCTTGTGCTGGGTTGAATTGGTCGGTACGCGTGTCCTACAATTTGTTCGGATGGGCTAGGGGGACGCCGACGGTGTTCAAAACAGTGTATTCAGCACAACTCGTAGAAAAGTCTTGATCTGTCTGTGAGGTCGAAGCCCTAATTTTCGCTTGCAGGGTACTGATGAAGAGGGTAGACGGAGTGAGGGAACAACGTCAGCGACATGAAGAAGGATAAAGAGACCAACGGTAACCCATCAGAGGGAGCGATGTTGTCGGGACGCAAAGTGGACGAGTGATGCCAGCACGAGGCAGAAACGTGAAGCTCGATCTTTAGCGACGCCTCTGCTCACCATTTCTTGAAGAGCTTCTTGTACCGGAACTTCTTGCTCCCCTCCACTGCCCGCAGAAACGCCTGTAGCCGCCCCGTCGTGTTTAAGCTCGTGAAGATCGCGCCTTTTTCGGCCCGGTGCTCCACCGCTGCTGCTCGATAGGCCCGGCCTAGAGTCCGTATGACGTCACGTGCGTTCTGAAGGAGTTAAAGCATGTCCAGTCAAAACAGTGGTCTGCATAATGTACAGGTGAAAAACTGCAAATGCAGTCCTGTCCCACCTTGTGCTCGCACACCTTGAAAAAAGGGACTGTTCTCGTTTTGGGGGCCCATCAAAATGGTCTTCCGTGCCAGTTCATGTGTCACAGGGAACGAAGTCATAGAGTTGTCGTGACCCTTGGCTTCGAAACTTGGGACCGAAAGGGGAGGATGAAGAAGAGCCGGAAGAAGGGAGCACTTTGCAAAGAATGTTATATCGAGCAGGTCGTCACCACAAAGGTCGTCTGCAAAGGGAGTGGAATGCGAGAAAGCACACTATAGTAGAGAGTACTAGAGAGTACTGGATGTCCGTACTGGTTAAGGTTGGACGTTTGGTGGGAGGGGTTTGCTACCAAAATAGAACCCCTAGATTTACCAAGAACGAAGCCTGTCAAAGCAATCCCCGTCATGACGTCCTTTTGGATTGCGTTCGTCGACACAGACAACACGCTCTGACACCCTCGAAAGAAGGATCCAATCGACGACCTGAACATGCAGAATACGTGCCTCTCTCATCTAGGCGTCAGGCAACAAGAGAAGGTGAAGCTCAGAAGGCTCTTAGTGGCCCTTGAATATGACTTCCGCTTTGGTTTTGTTCAACGCACCTGTTCTGAGTTGCCAACCCCGACTTGATTCATGGCGAGGAGGATGCTGACTGCCAGTCGCCATAAGTCCATTTGGTAGTCTGCCACCAAAGACTCGTCAAAGTCGTTGAGTGCATACACAGTCTCGCCCTTGCGGTTGTGGAACGAGCCGAGATTGCAGCAGTGGCAGTCCCCAGAGAGCCAAGTGTGTGTCTTGGTGTTGCCAAATAGGTGCAAGCGAGCGTCGTGGCTGCAAGAGAATGTGCAGTATATCTAGCTCCACCGCTAAGCTGGCAAGAGGTCAGCCTTCAGCTCTTTGGTTTAGATTACTGCTTCATCACATGTACTGAAGGAGGCCGTGTTTGATGGGGGAGGAGGTTAAGTGACGTGCTACAACATTCTGCGCTGAGGATTGAGGTTCCGAAAAGTCCACCTTCAGTGTGTGACTGAGAAAGAGTCTCAAAAGTCATGAAGCGACATTCAGGCACCCCATGATGTTCCTCTGTTCAGGCCAGACTCTGTTGCTTACCACCAATGACAATCAGGATTGCTGCCTTTGTCGCTCCTTTGGCTGGAAAGATTGGGATTGTAGGGCCTCTTGGCTTTCATGTCGACTCATCTTGACTCACTTTGGACGGACCAGTGTTTATGGACTCAGAATCTTCAAACAGTTCCAACGCAAACATGACTTACACAACACTGGCTTGGCCTGGCAATCTAGTTACATACACCATTTGCAGGGAGCGATTACAAAAACCGGTCACATCAAAGCTCACCTCAGGTCCTGCCAGAATAAATGGTCGGTTGCCCGGTAAACCGCAAATGGTGATGGCTCAACGCCCTTGTCAGAGGCAGCGTACTTCATCTTGGCATACTTCTTCTTTCGGACGTCAGGAGAGAGGCCTCTATTCCAGACCTCAAGTGCGTGTACCAGTTGCTCCTGCCTGTTGAACACAGCATCCTGTCCCAAACCACCAGGCAGCTGGAGAAGAGAGCAGAGTTTGATGTTTGAGTAATGTTCGCGACATTGTGCAACCTTGAAGGGGAACCTGTCATTACGTTTATCTGACTTTTTACCTGGAAACAGAGCCTATCCTGGATGGTGACGACTCTTGTCAATTCGCGCAGAATTGCGCTGTTGCAACAGCATCTTATTGGCACCAATTGCAGATGAGTATCTTGTCCCTCCAACCTGTTCACAAACACAAAGATAGGAATGAAGTTGAGGAATGAGAGACCTTTCTGTGGCAATTGGCATTATATCCAACAAGTGCTTCTTATCTTCAACATTGGAAACTAAGATGGGCATGGTCCTGACCGCTAAGCATAGAGGCAACATTACTGGCAGCTAATGCAACATCCCAAACTCATGGCTTCAACCTACTCTGATGAAGGAACATCAGAAAGCTTCCACTTTGCGTTCAGAAAGGAACCAACTGTATGATTGGCCGAACACATCGGCCTTCGTAGCCTGGTTTCTGCAGCTTTCTTAACATCCATAGCTGAACAACTGTACACCAGCTTGGGAAGACTCCAAAGAAACTCCAAAGAGCGTTAAGAAACTGAAAAGTCCACCCTACCACCTGCTGACAGTGCTCAGAAGTAGCGTCAATCCAATTTGGGATTGACAATCACAGACTTGAATTTTCAATTAAAAGAAAAATAGAGTCCTTGAACAGGAACGGAAGTAAACAAAGCACGTACATCTGGAATGGTTGGTATAATAAAGTCGCTGGGCATGGGGGTCGTCACAGGCCTTGGGCTGGGTGCAACATCATCGCCGCTGCTGACCTTCCGGCGGGGAAGTATGAGATGTTGAGTAGCCATCGTCAAAGACGACTCCTTCCGCCTATTGAATATTGATTGGAAGTCGGGCAAGATGAGAACAAGTACAAGCTGGCACGCAAATCTTCCATCTAGTAGAAGAACTCACTCCCCTAGGAAAGCCACCATCGCGCCAGCCATTCTATGCTGTGCGCTAGCTCAACTTGCAAGCTGAGTCACTTGGAAGTTGAACCAACAATCATTGAATCAGCACTTCGTTTTCACTGCAAGCATGGTGAGGTTGTCGGAACCCGGCCGTGAGAAACTGGTCGACTTGTCGTCAAAACTTTTTCGACCGTAAAAGGACAAACATTTTCCTTGCTCACCACTTCGCAGCCGTGCGATCTGTTGAACTCCTCAGAGGAACAGGTTAACCTAACCCGTCGCGCCACTTTCGGTGAAATGTTCGCACCTTTCAGGGGCTGACTTTGCAGGCTAAAATGTCCCCCTCTTATAGATTTCGGCAAGGGGTCCAAAGTTGCCTACCTGGCCGGGCATTCTGACGTGGCACCAGGATGTCAACGCCATTTGGCACAACCAGAGAAGATCCGCTGTTCCGCCGATCCGGCCGGACTCCGGCGTCAACCCTACAGGTAACTTAGCCGTCCGGAGAGAAGTGCAGATCTGAGATCAGGTGAATCTGCTCATGGCTTTTCCTGTCAGTGTAGCAAGAGATTTAGGTAATACGACGCAGCCTGCCCCTTCGTTATTAAGTGGCTCCCTCGGCAATCAAAGAAAGGTTCAATCAAGCAGAGATCTGAGCAACCTCGATCACGGGACGGTGCAAGCATCATGGGATTGTTCAATCTCTTTGGCGGCCCTGATGTGGGCAAATTGGGCTTTGGCAGCGCGACCACCGCTCAGGAAGCGGTGGCGGGGATTGATCTCTCAGGAAAAGTCGCTGTGGTTACAGGTGAGCAGACGAATGCATCAAATATTATTAGGAGCAGACGTGAAAGCCCCGTCAAGCATGCATATTGGACGAGGATTGGAATTTGTGTGCAGTACAGCCTTGATGAACTCTTCTGATTCCATCTTGGAAGTTTCCGATCTAGGGTTCAGGAATTACTTTTTTTGAATGGCGGGCCAAAGTTTGCATGCGCTACAGGCAGGTCTCGCTGTAAGTCACGCAGTCCTAGCCTAAATCTTCCATTCGTTGACTCAAATCAGGCCGCGTCAAGGTCTTCTGACCACTTGTGGCTATAGATGGCTCACAGTCATGGACACCACTCCGAAGGTTCGACCACAATTTTCACTCTCTGCATTGTCATCCTTTTAAATGACAAAAGCACAAGGAAGCATGGTTGCAGCAAAACGGGTTCTGTGCTCTGAATTTCTTTGAAGAAGTTGACTGTATGGGATGGGTTGTTAGAACTTGTTACCCATGTGTCCCGATGCGTCTGCTTTGTCCAAGCCCGAATTCGAGATATTTGGATACAGGCAGGATGAAGCTTTCCTCTCCAAGTCAAAACCACACAGTGTACATATGGGCCTCCAGTTTGCTTCCAACAAATCAAGTGGTCATGAGGGGCCTTGCGCACTCCAAATACCTGTTCGATCAAACCCCAGATTGCGATCTCAGTCAAGCTGCTTGCGAGTGTTGACACTATTCATGGCCCCTGGCCTGCCTGCAGGTGGGAGCAGTGGCATCGGTGTTGAGACTGCACGCGCACTGTCTTCTCAAGGTGCACACACGGTGCTCGCTGTGCGAAATACAGAGGCAGGGCAGGCGACGAAAGCGGATATCCTCAAAGGCAGCCCTAAAGCCCAGGTGCGAACCGCACTGCTTGTGGAGCCCTTGCCTGCCGTTGAAACAGAATGGTGCTTCTATATTTGACAATTGTCATGCGAGAAGGGAGTAACAGTCCTGCCTAAGCTTACCATCTCGTCCAAGTAAAGGGAGATTCCAGATTGACGTTACACTCGGAGAACCCTCCATTGCCTTGGTTCTAGAACCTAATAACCAAGTGGATGCCTTCACTTGAGTCGACGCCAGTGCTGCCAAATCAATTCGTTCCTAACAGTGTGTTTGACTGCAGGTCGATGTGATGTCTCTCGATCTGAGCTCCTTGGATTCCGTCAGGAGCTTCGCTAGCGAGTTCGAGAAAACGAAGCTGCCCCTCAACATTCTTGTGTGAGCAAAACTTTCCTATATCGGGATCCGCCGTAGAGTTCCTGACGTTGTTGGCCAACTTGTCCACGAGTTTGACCACTCGCGACTGTTGATTGCTTAGTTGGAAGGGACATGCTGACGTCAGGGCTGGCAAAGAGTTCGTAGATTTCTTAATGCTAGCCCTGGTGACTTCGAGTACGTGCGACGTACATTGAGTTTTTCCCCTGTCAGTGTGATGCATCGATGCACCTCAGAAGGACTAAGCTTGTAAGCTCGCTTTCACGTCATAAGGACATTACTTGAATCGCTATCGCCAACGCACAGGCTCGAATGCACAACAGAAGTATTTCGGAGGATTTCTTGTGAGCATTCAAGTACCTCCGGTCAACCGTATCAGCCTTCTTGAAGTTGGGCTCAAACCAGAGCAGAGTCCGAAGGCAGTATTCCGATGCGGCATTCGGTCCATTTAGATTAGCAGTGTCCTGTTCGGTGCCTGAAGCAAGTCGGATTCATCGCAACTTGATGGAGAGAGGCCCTCTGTTCCGACCAAGCTTTTAAAGCAAAGACTCACCAGTATTGCGGCTGTCCATTGTGCAGAAACAATGCTGGAGTGATGATGTGCCCCTTTTCTAAAACCAAGGACGGTCACGAGATGCAGTTTGGCACTAACCATCTAGGTAAGCTTTCCGCCCAGAATCTTATACTGCTAGCATCAGATGTGACCCCGGCTTCTCTACCGACTGTCATCTGACGATTGTGAGCCGTCCGTTTCGTTTGGATGCCCATCGTACGGCTCAAGTTCACTTCGACGAACGTGAACATCTCTGTTTCTCGATGTGCCTAAGAGCAGTGCTTGATCCCTTGAGACGGACAACGTGCGAACTTCAGTGATGTCGGTTTCTCCTTTTCAGGCCACTTTCTGTTGACGGATTTGCTGCTCGACAACCTGAAGCAGACGGCGAAGAAGACCGGCACGGAGAGCCGCGTCGTACTTCTTTCCTCCCGAGCACACCATCGAACGTACGGAGAGGGCATCCGCTTCGACAAGCTCAACAGCGAAGAAGGGTACGCCGCTCTGCTGTTGCTATTTTGCATCGTTCCAGGCTGGAAAGGAACGATAACTAAAGGAAAGGAATGCGGAATCAGCGGGCGCTTCGGTTGATATAGAGGAGTGCGTTTCGCAAGAGTTCATTCTGGGTAGAGTAGCAATTGAAGAGCGAACATTCCTTCTTGACAAGCTCAACAGCGAAGCAGAATACGCAGCTCTGCAGCTACCGCCTTTGTACCGGTTTCCATCTTGCGGGTGGAAAGATCTTCGGCGTTTGGTTGCTTCGTAACGTCCATCTCGCAGAGTTGACAAAGTTCGTCTCGCAAAGAGTCCAACTCGCGTTGTTTACTAAGTGAGGAGTGAGGGGTATCCAACTCGACAAGCACAGAACTGAGGGAGGGACCGCAGCTTGCTACGCTTTTGCATCATGACCAGGCTGTGGAAGTGACGCTGACTTGGCGGCTTCCTGTTGGTGTTTGAGTCGTTCACCTACTGAGCACTTGCATTCACAGTTTGACGACTTTATTCTATCTCCAGCAACGGCCGTAAAATTGCGTTGGATGTCGTAATCAGAAGACGGTAGCCTCTTGAAGCGCAGAGCTAAAGTTTGTCAAAGGATGCGGAATCGGTTGGACGCTGGGAAAACCCGTTTTGCCGCAAGGAAAATAGCGTGACCTTTGACCAGACTCAAGTCGCGCTGATTCGAGAAAGGTTGGGACAACAGATTGTAACAAGAGCCCGTGTTTCATATGTGCACTATAAATCCATCTTGGCGTATGGGCAGTCAAAGCTTGCCGAGATTCTGCCTGTCGACGAAAGTGGTTCGTCAAACGCAGACCGTAACCCCCATCTTTTACACATGTACTTATAGTTCCTTTTTGGCGTCTGACCAGTCGAAGCTCGTCAATGCGGTCGAAGGAATTGGTGGTTGCAGAATCTGACAGTTGCCGCGTTTATGTGTGCAGTTACAGTCCCTTTTCGGCGTATGGCCAGTCGAAGCTCGCGAACGTGCTGCACGCAAACGAACTAGCGAAGCGCCTCAAGGTGGGCAACGCCTCTCGACACGATGGAAACTCTGTGGCGCTCCAACCTAAATCAAAAAAGGCACCGTGAAACAGCCTTTTGTAGTCGGGCAAGGTCTTTTCTCCGAATAAAAGACTGAAGCTGGCCCGAAGCTGGCACGGAGACATGGAAGCTCGCTTCAGTTGATACAGAAGGATGCAAGCCTTGCCATTGCCGGCCGTTCCCTGACGGCTCCTTTGACCCAATTCCCACCAGTCGACGGTTGGTATTCCAAGATTGGCTCACCTTCGAATGTCGTCACGTAGATCGATAAGATAAGGGGGTCCGTGAAGAGTTTTCAAGGCTCCCTCAGTCCCGTCAAGCTTTCATTAAAATCTCGATTGCAAACTGACTAAGATCTGGCGCGCATGCTGCCATGTGGACAACGCGAAAAGTTGAGGATCGGGTGTATCCCATGGCCGTTGAAACCTTCTCGCATTGCAACCGCTGACGTCATCCCACAGTCCTGCAGGCGGAGGGCGCTGACGTCACTGTGAACTCGGTGCACCCGGGGGTCATCGCCACCAACCTTGGGCGGCACCTGCCGGGGCCCGTTCAGTGGCTACTGAGTAAGCGGCAGCAGGCCTTTTGCTGACGTCACAACCGTGACGTCGGACGCAGCATGATCACACTCTTCACCGAATAGCATCAGTGTGCTTAAGAAGTCTGCTCCTCGCGAGCTTTACTTGCCGCTGTGGCGATTGGTGTCATTTTGTGAGATATTCCGCGAGCTCTGATGTTATTCACACCTTTTGGTTTGTTTTGAGCTAAGTCTGTATAATTCTGGCTGGCCGGCTTTCCATGGTTTAGAGGTCGAAGTGACAAGTGCTTTTCCTTGCCCCCGAACATTTCCATCCCGTTTACCTTCCCTGATGTTTCAAGAAAAGGCCTCTTTGTCTGACGCGAGAGCCTGTCTTTTGCAGATAACGCAGTGAGGCCGTTCATTAAGAATCCCGAGCAGGTGAGCTGGACAACTCGTGGGCGCTTTTTCCATGTATTGCGTTCCTGCTAAACTGAGTTTGCTGTTCGTTTACTTGTAAGGACCTTCGGTTTAGCTGCATCTTCATATGGCATGGAGTCCCCCTATGCTATATACTGGCAGAGCGGTGACAAGAAAAGTCGATTCGAGAGGAAACGTAAGGCTAGGGCCTGTTGGGCTCCTGTACAATCACCGAGATTCAGATTTAAACGCCCGGTCTGTCCCATCGGCGGCTCTTCGATCGTCGGCAGTGCGCGTCAGCGGTGGTCGCACCGTTGTCCGTTGCATTGACGGTGACGTTACCAATTTCCATAAGCCCCAGCTTTAGCATTTTGCGGTACCACCTCGCCTTCGAGCATTGGATCGGAGTCGCCTGCTGAAGAGCTGCTATGGCTTAAGAAAGATCTCGTCAACCATCTTAATATCGTCAGTTTCCAGATAAGATAGACTGAGAAAGACAAGCGGCTTAGAGGCGCCCGCGTTGGGTCGGAGACTCAGGGCCATTCGGTACGCTATCAACCTCTCCAATCGATCAGGGGGCAAGTCGTGGGTTGTAAGTTAGTCTGCTTCACGCCTGATGCCCCACGTCTGGCGAATGGGTTTAGCCGTCTTCCAAGGCTTCCGCTGTCATCATTTCAGAGGATGAGTCATCATCTCAAAGGCTGAGGAAAAGATGTGGCTGGCACTCGATTCTCTTTTATGTAGGGTGCTGCGACTTCGGTGTTCGTCGCTACCAACCCGAGCTTGAAGGGGGTCACCGGGGAGTACTTCGCGGACTGCAACGTCCAAGAAAAGTCGGCGTTTGGAAAGGATGCGGCGTTGGGCGAGCGACTGTGGCAAGTAAGCAAAGAGTTGACCGCCAAAAAGTAGCTGAAGGGGTTGGCCACGCGTTGTCCTTAGACAGGGAGTATTGGCCGGTTATTTCTTGTTATTTTGCAGGTAGTCAGGAAAAAGACGGCATGCACGTTTCACGATATTGCTGCGCATTGTGGTATTATAACATGGTCAAAGTGATGGACACAACGATCAAGTTAGCAACACTCAAATGGTCTAGGCTAGCGCTTGTGTACATAAATTAGCCTTACACTTTGAACAGGCTCTACTTTTGCCGACAATACTTCGACATTATCGTACTGAGCAAGGCCAGTGAACATGTTGTTGGATATTGAACGTGGAAACCTTCTAACTACACTGAGTGCCGTGCCGCGGACGGGGCCGGTCCGGGCAAGCATTCGCAAACATGACGGTACGGAAGATTATTTGTACTCTACATCATTGTCTGTTAAGCGCAGGCTGCATGCAGATTTGCGCCGACCGGATCGCACATGTCGGTGACTATCATAGTATCACCATGCATGCAGTCTCACTCTTCGATTGCAATATATTTGCGATATCGGACGGTTGCAAAATGAGTGCGTGCACATGTAATCAACCATATACTATGATATATCCAAGTACGTTCAAATTATGCAAATGTTAGAACATTTCGGTAATCATTGATCGAATTACCATGACCGGCGCGATTAATTGTACACTGGCACATGGACGATCGAAATTTTACACTAAAGTAAGGGCGATAACCTGCCGCGCTGGCAACATGTTGCTATTATTGACAAGGCTGCCACAGCACAGATCTGCATTCAATAACATCCGAGAAAGGAGATTTCGCAGCTGAACGAGCAATGCTCCAGATATTGCAGAATACTGGTTTTGCAAAGACATTTCGAAGGTGCAAGCCGCATCAGGAAAATCTTGCTCTTCAACCGGTAGATCTGGATTGCAAAAGAATCCTCCTAGGTCGCACAAGTAGCAGTTGAGTACAATTACAATACAACGGCAAAACGGTACCTTCTACAAGTCGGCCTGAGACGTGATTTTCTGCAAAAGGGCATCAAAAACGTGTTGTGAGCTGTCGCTCGTTCCTCAGACGATCGTGCATTTTAACGGCGAACTTACATGGACAGGGTTAGGCGAAGGGTCGATACATGAAGTTGGGACAAGAGGATGAGTTGCACTGAAGCACATGGGACGACACTCACATGCTGAAACAATTGACACGTAGGCTGGAGGGACTTACCTTGTCAGCAAGAATTGCCCCATCGGGGATCTCAATCTTCTCCCCCTTCTTGGCCTCGATCTCCACGTTGCCCTGGCAACAGGGGGAGTGCGTTTGAGTCAGCACTGGACAGGCGGCTTTGCCATCGAAAGAATTGACATTGAACCTCCTTAATGTAGATTTTAAACAACCCTGCCTGAAGTTCTGCCTCAAGTAGCGTTTCTGTCTCTTCCAATCCTTGCTGGAGGGTTTCATCAACCCGAGTTCACAATCTCATCAGTCATGTGCTGCGTAGCAGTCGCTGAACTGACCGGAGCGCTCTGCAGTCCAGCGTGTTCTTGGCACTACTCTTGGCACTTGGTCGAAAGATCAGCAGGGCTAGGGGGGAGCCTGTGCCTCACCTTGAGGGTGACGTTCTTGCCGAAGTGGACATCGCCTGACACCTTCAGGCTCTCCAGCTCCATGATGCTGGGGATCGACTTGATGCGCTTCTGGAAGTCGGCAACCTGCAGGAACCACAGAAGAACGTACGGTAAGATCGTGCTACCGATTGTCTAGACACTCGTATCGTCAGAGTATTGCTAGATTCTACCCAAGATCAGTAATGACCAAAGAGAAGTTTTCAACAGGTGGCTTCGTCACGTGACAAAGCGACGGATTCAGAGAAGTGGAGGAACAGATGCTTAGAGAGAAACGAGGCTGGGATCTTGAAGAGTCTCCTGCTTGCGATGATGAGAGGCCCGATCTTCAGATGCAGATGCGGAAGCTCAAGCCGCTCGAACGTCACTCACCTTCTTAAACTCGTTTGACAGCTCGATGAGCGGGGCCTTGGGAATCGTCCTAGCAGGGTTTAGTACCAGGGCGCCGTCCTTGAGAGCATACACATCAGACTGCACAGACACAAAGTTGGAGAATGTCGTCAATGCACAGCACACTTCTTCAGCAAAAGCCCTACTCTTCTTCCCGTCGAGAGTCGAGACGTCTCTGGCCTAAAGCGTGAGTCAATGGTTTAGACGTATCCGAAGATAAAGGATCAGCGGTTGGAGAGCTTCTCGATGGTGCGTACCTATCCTGCGGATATATCCAAGGAGCATCGACATTCTTTCGAGCCTTGTTGATAAGGCTTAAACGGGTGCATTGAACTACTGATACCGAAACAAGCTCCGGGATGCTTCTTATGCACCCCATCTCTTTCCGTATCTGGTTGTGGCGCAAGGTATTGCGAACAACAAAACCGAGGGCCTCACCTGGACGAGTAGGAGATCGGAGCAACCCTTGACGGGGAGGAAGCGAGACCGCGGCACGTTGCAACCGCCGGCCTTCTCAAAGAACTGGCCCAAAAGGAGAGACGAGTATCAGTTATTTAAGCTCAGTCAACGGACTCTTATTTGCTCGACTGAAGCTGGAATGTTCTTCCAGACATGACACTGAGCAGTTCCGTGACGGAACAAGCTGGCTTCGCGAGACACAGATCTCCTACAAGCTCCGGGTACGCAAACACAAGGCTCGGGGCAAAAATGCTCAAAGCACGTACCCGGATAGCAGCGCCGGCGGCGGTCTCCAGCTGGAGAACCTGCGTGCCATCGACATCCTTGGGGTTGGGAATAATCTCCATCTTGAGCTTTCCGCCCTTCAGGAGGTTCTTGATCGCTTTAAGGTTCACCCACCTGCAGAACAAGTTCCAAATGAATCACAATTTTGATTCACATGCTTGCAGGATCCGGCAACCTGCTGCAGTAATGAACACGAGAAACGGGGTCTGTTGTCCAAAAACATCTAGAAACAGAGACTCTGAAGAGGTGTGCTTACATGTTGTTCGTATTGAACACCTTGAACTTGTCAATCGTCTTGAACTCTGGCACCTGCGAATACACAAAGGCAGCGAGTCAGCTGGGAACAGAAGCCTGAAGGTTCTGCAGCAGACTGCAACTATCAGCCTTCACGGGAGTATACAGTTGCTTATTGAGAAACACGAGTGTGAGGACAGCAGATTTCAACGGCCACTCAGAGCGCTCTCCTGTGTCCCAGCATGAATTTCATTAGGGTGCGAAGTCCTCTGACACCATTGTACAGTACCCCTCATCACACATGCTGTGACCTGTGCTGAGTACGCAGTTCCTTCACGACCACAAAGCCAGACTGGTACTCTACAACTGTACTCTTTGTGAAATGAGCTTTTTAGTTGACACTCTTACATGCTCATCTGGGACCTGAGCAATCTCCAGCAGCTGCGCGTGACCTTCGTAGGAGATGAGGGTCCCACCCTTTACGTCAGCCAAGGTCTTGTCGGTCAACTGCAATTCCAGGCAGAGATGTCAACGAAACGGAATCCTATATCCAAGGGAGGAATATATCCATCGAAAGCTGAACGGCAAAGGAGAAGGCTGGTACAGCTTGTCAAGCTAGAAACAAGCTGAGATGTGGAACTTGAGCAAATCCGCCTCTGTAAAGCAAACAAGGACCACCATGGGTAAGGTTTGCCTGACCTCCATGCAGTAGTCGATTTGACTCTTCACAATGTGGTTCAGGATCTTGAGGTCAACAGTGGCGCCAAGGTTGTCGGTGTTGGCAAGGAAGATGAATTCTTTCCCCTGCAAAAGTAGACTGCCAAGTCACTTTCCTGAATAGAACCGAGTCAAAGCACATCTGCACCATCCCCAGTGTATCCAGATGCGCAGGGCATGATGAGCTTCATTCCAACGCCCTCACCTGACAAGATAACCTTCGATAGCATCAGCGCAGGTGGGATGCTGAATGTGAAACGCTCATAACAATGAACTCAAATGCTAGTTCAAGATTGTGAAGATAGAATCTGAACGACATTTTCAGTAATCCCCATGTTCAAAAGAAAGCCCTGCGATCGAAGCTTACATCTGCCACCAATTTGTCTAGAACCCCACTGTCCGTGATCGCAGCATAGAAGTCGCCATGGCCTGGAGGGTACCTGCAGCATCATACTCACCATATCATCATCAGGACTATTTGGCTGTCAGTAGGGCCACTCCCTCTTTGCCATATTTTGAAGTCTGCAAAAAAATCCTCGTCCTCTACTGACAATGTTCGAAATCAGGATGAAATTGGGTCGACCAGTGACCAGTGAGAGTATGCTGGCCAGGCCTTAAGGTGCTCAGCATGGACAGCTCGCATCTGCAATCGAGAGCGTTAGGTTCTTCCACTCTACAAATGCTCACATCTTTATGCTGAACCAATATGCTTGTTGGTGCTCACCAGGCGGCTTTGTCAGTCCTCCCAGGCTTGGCCGCCGGCCAGGGCGTGAAGTCGTCCTTGAGCACGCGGGGGAATCTGCTTTGGTTGAATGTGAGCACCTTCAGCTTGGAGTCCTCGTACTTCTTAATGATCTGCAACATCAGAAGGTGCCAGATATTAGTATAGCATCTAGAACTCATAAAGCTTAGTAATGTGAGCACTTTGCACGCCACAAACCTGGCCACCGTTAGATTTGAACCCACTATTTGAAGAAGGCTGCTGGAATGAATAATGCGCCTCACCTGAGCAGTCTCCTCGTCCGTGTTGAATGAGTTCATCAGAACCAGGGGAACATCAGCGCCGTACGTGTTGTTCAGGTGCTGTAGATAGACAATGTTGTCAGTCTTGGCACAACCAAAACATATGATTGTACTGGTATGTTTTGATTTGCGTCTGTGGAGTAAATCAGTCAAATTGCATGGTTCACCAGTTTCTGCCAACACAACCGCAGATTTCTTTCCTGGCATTGACAGGCGTACCTCAATCTGTTCCACAATGAGATCCAAGAACGTCTTCCCGTTCCTGACTTCGATCACAGACCTGCACGGAAGCATCCATACCTTAAGACAACAGTAGTAGTGTGCTCCAGTCTCTGGCAGCCAGATAGTTACCTCTAGTGACAAAGATGAACAACCTGTTGAATAGTAAAGTCAAACAGCGCACTACCCGCTATAACTGATGAGAAGCAGGTTAGAAGCACCAGTTGTGGACGATTGGCACTTGACTGGAATGCAATGACAGCCGTTATTCTTTCAGAGTCTTCTTTCAGAAAATTGTATATCCACCACCCTTTCAAGCAAAAGCACCTCAGACCCCTCGATGGGTGAGAGAAGTACACGCTGAATCAGCCATGACTTACTTGGGGCCAGTGCAACCCATAGTTGTGCCAAGTCCTCCGTTAAGCTTGACAACCGCCAACTTGTTCAAGAGGGTTTTGACAGCGCCATCGCCTGCATCACACATGATCGATGTCTCAGTCTGTTCATTAGTGCAGTCCAATGCCTCCTGTCCTATTGGCATCATATTCTACATATGTTTGAATAATTGCATTTGTGGTAGACTCCAATTGCCTGGATCTAAAATAAATGTAATGTATGCAGCCTGCATGCATTCAGGTATTCTCACCTGAGGGCACATCCTCCAATTCAGCATAGGGCACCAGAAGCTCCTTGGTTGGCGGCTTGATCTTGTCCCAAACAATGCTCTCACTCTTGCCGCTGCAGGCAAGAATAGAATCTCAAATGTGAAATGATCCACCATCTCAGATCATTGAATCTTTGCGCAAGGGAGAGCACTCCCTGCCACCAAATCAAGGAGAACCAAGTTCATTCCTTCGACCGCTTGAAAGAAAATTCAAAAGAAAAGGTACTAACATATGGACGGTGCCTTACCCCAAATACCGATCAAAAAGATCGATGAAGCCAGCCCGTTCAGACTCACTGCACATAAAAGAAGGATATGTGTCAGCCATCATGTAAACCGCAAACTAACATCCACTTAACCAAGGCTTTGATTCTAGTTCTGGTGCGTGCGATGCGCCATAAAGCCAACTATACGTCGCGTTGTTTGCACGTTGCGATGCGCCCAACTCACGTCATTTCCTTGTCCAGGGTGAGGACTTCCAGCTTAAGCCGGTCAATGATCTTGGTAGGGGCCTCCGTGACAGTCGCCATGGCTCCTGGTGCGCTGGTTTTCCCCGAAACTCCAAAGAAGAAGACGGCCTCACAGCGGCTTGAAGCGCGTCTCTTCACAAAGTCACAAGTTTCTGGAGACGGTCTGTCCAGAACTTGGGCAGAAGCACAGGCGAATGGATTGGATTGTGGCATGGACGAGCAATTCCATGCATCCGTAGACTGTAGCTCACGTTCCCTGGAACGCCATGATTGCTGCGGTTGACTTGTACCTGGTACAGCCAGCCAATGGACTCCACGTGTACGCTGATAGTAACAATCAAAGTGAGCCGTCCATTTTACCAGAATCTGTCATTAGCATCGTCGATTCCAGGCTTCGTTGACACGGAATCAGTTGGAAGGATTCTGCTTTCTGCAGCCGGTGTACGCGTCCAACTAGGCTGGGAACATTTCGGACATCCTTCTTCTCTAAGTTTGCCAAGCCCCGCCTCAGGCTGCCTGCATTCTCTCGCGTGAGTCGCGTGTGTGTGTCTTTTTGGAAGCAGTGAAGGGAGCTGACCGCCCTGGAAAGCGCTACATGACTATCATTCCAGACCGGTCAGTGTCACGATTGTGAGGGGCAGGCTCATCAAGGCCTTGGCAAGGTGGCACCACCATTTGCAGTGTCATTGTCAAGAAAATTGCAAAACATCCTCATGGCTGCCTGCAAGACCGCTCTGCAACGCGTTGGGAAGCAGAGCGGCCTTTCCCGCCTGCTCCGTCCGCACAATTCTTCCAACTTAGCCATAAAGGCTTGCCCTTTAACGAAGTCGCAAGTCCCGAAACAACTTTCAAGTTGCAAACTCAGAGCCCTCAGCGAGGAAACCAATTGGAAGACACCTTTGACTAGTCCCAATGCACCACCATTTAGCATTCTCCACTCAAACCACTCCTGCACCTTTCACACCGCGCTTGGAGGCCGGCGTCAACCTAGAACTAGCCATGGTGGGGAAAATAGCACCACCAGGAACGTCCGCACTGAAGCTGCCAACTTCGAATTAGATGCCCCCACCTCTGAGTTTCGCTACTTTGCAACTTGCACCCCCGGTCTCGAGAAGATCGTCGCCGAAGAGCTGGCGTCTCCACTGATCGATGCTCAGAACGTATCCCCCGCAAGGGCGGGAGTAGCTTTCATGGGGGATTTGGCCGTGGGTTACCGCGCTAACCTCTGGTTAAGGTGTGCGGTGCGGGTGCTCATTCACATGGCGGAGGGAGAACTTGTGCCATGGCGGCCGGCGGGAGACGAGGTGTACGATTTTATCAGGGGGGCGGTTGACTGGCAAGCGCTGCTGCTGGTTGGCGGGCGAAATGGTGCACGTCGTTGTGAGTGGGCACCGTGACCAGAATCCCTTTCTTTCCCCACTCTCCTGTGATGCCTTTTGTACTTTCAATAACAGTACTATGTTGGTTGTGAAGTGTTAATATTGCGAAAGATGCTGGTTCTTTTGCAAGCCATGGACACTCGCAGGCGCCAAATGAGCCACCACCACCACATCATTGTCGGCGCCCCTCTAGCGGTTGTACAGATGCATGTTGTTTTCATTTTAGCCTTAGGCCTATCCTGTGGCTCAAAAGTGGAGTGACAGGCAGCAAACAGGCAAACAGGCACTAAATGTGTCACCACCACAATGAATTGCTGTGTTCCTCTTCAAGAAGGACAAGTTTAGACATCAACTTACCCCCACTTTATTCCATGACAAGTACCTCCTTCTTTATGATCAAAATCTACCGGACGAGCATTCACGTCAACTTGCCACGTTATCTCCCCTCACCTTGCCACCTCTCTTTCTCTGAATTGCTTTCCCCCTCGCTTCCTCCCCTTCTTATCCCAATGATTTCTTCCCCCAGTCAAGGAATCCCAACTGCGCACGTTCTGGGTTGACGCACGCGTCTGGGATTGCTCTAACGTGACCCACTCCGGCATGGTCTCCGTACGAGCCAAAGACGCCATCTGCGATGCAATCAGGTATGTGCACACGTCTGTGACAAAACCAAGCTTGTGTGGCATCTGCATGTTGGACTTATCTCGGAAATGCTTGTGGGTTCTGTGAGATTCCTTCTTGGCTTTCTTTTTTTGGTATTCTTGGGGTAATTCAAATCAATTCGATGCAAGTCAATGCTATCGACACGTCTGCGCAATGCGTTTGGCATGTCAGGTACGCTGACCGAATTCTACTTGCTGCGGATGCTCAATGATCGCTTGAGCTCGAATCTCATCTCCATGCGTCTGTTTGGCCCAAGCTTTGTAGTTGGTTGAAAGCAACTTCTCCGTACCTTCATTCAGCTGTTACTGGATCTCAGTCTTGACAGATCTGCTGCCATGATTGAAATCGATAGCGTATTTCATTTCAGGGACACCTGCCAAGGTCTCAAGCCACCCCCCCCAGAGAACGGCGCCAATGATGCCGACCTCCCTTTATTCCTCACACTCTACCGTGATAAGGCCACCCTGTACCGGGACATGAGCGGCGTCAGTCTGCACAAGCGGGGGTATCGGGATGCGATGCACCGCGCAAGTTTGAACGAGGGGGTCGCAGCTGGGATGCTGAAACTGGCGGGCTTCGGGGCAGGGGGTTTCCGAGCGAAAAGGAAGGGTGCTGAATCTGGGGGAGCCGGAGCTTCGCCAGAAAGGGGGTCCGGTCGGCGGGATAATTATGACCCGGAGGACGGAGGGGAGTCAAGACAGGGGGTAACGTTAGCAGACCACAATATGTCCTCAGCAGCAACTGCTGACGGAGGTCTGACGTCAGCAGCCCTAGAAGTGCCAGATGGGAACGGGCGGCGGTTGGAGAGTCATGCGGAGGCGAGTGCGAGCGGGCGGGGGGATGCTGATGAGGCGCAGGGGGGCGCTGACGTGGCGCAGGTGCTGCTGGACCCGATGTGCGGCTCGGGGACGCTGCTCATCGAAGCGGCGCTAATGGCGGCCAATACAGCGCCGGGCTTGCTGCGGAGACGGTGGCCGTTTGAGGTGAGGGTGCGGCGCTGGTGGCAGCGCTTGCTTTGGTGAGCTCGATCAGGCACGTTGCATGACCGTTTAAAGGGACAAGTGGACAATCTTTTGATCACCTACATGAACGGCTTGAATCGCGTGGTCGAGCACTCGTAGTGCAGAGTTGGTCGGACTTTTGCCATCCGTTGGAGATAGCTCGAGCGGGCAATCTATGGGCCCCTCGATGTAGCTGAATCAGTGTGGTCAGCAACTCAAAAATTTCCAGTGTAAGCTTTCAAAATATTCCACTTTCCGACGAATTGACTTCCGAGGAGGAGTGGAGCGAGGCGACGAAGATACATAATCAAGCGCAGCCGTGGACGATCCCTCGAGGAGCATATAAGTGGTACCATTACGCAAGTTGATTGCTCGGTATCAAGCCCCGCGGAGCTGGCCTGACTTCGACAAGCTCTCACGGAAGTGGGGCAGTAACGCTCTAGAAGCAGCAACGGTAACAATCTGCACTGTCCGTCACTCCCTTCCGACGAGCTGGTGTGGACGCAGAGCGTGCGCGACTCCCAGTCACAAAAAAACACCAGCTTTGATGAGCTACGACGGGGGTTTTCAGTGGCTGGAGCTGCCAGCGACACAGCTGTGAATTCCTCGCTGCTTCACTTTCCACGCGGGACCTGACCCTGAAACAGTGCATTCCATAAACAACTTCAAATATCAGACGTTGAACAGCGCATCGACTCATCCTTACGCAATCCGCAGAGCTGGCCCGACTTCGACGAGCAGTTGTGGAGGCAGTGCGTGCGCGACGCCAGGTCGCACCAGACTGACTGGCCGCAGGGCCTCCGCCTCCTGGGGAACGACATCCACCCGGGGGCGCTCGAGCTGTGCAGGTACGGGATTGCTCGCGCACTTTTGTGACTGCCTTACAAGGGTGAGATGCATCACATGCATTCACTCGCGTCTCTCTGGTGGGGGTAAACCGGATGGGTTCGCTTGCGGTTCCTGGTTGCGCATCTCGAGTTGGAGAATTGCTCGAGCCGTTCAGATGGACATTGGTAAGGTTGTTGCTGAGTCGCCTGTGCCTCAAGGTTCTGCTACTACGTACACGAGCACCGAGGATGTGTCGAAGTTGTGAACTCCCACGTTGAAGCCCTACACTTGACCTGCTGAGACTGCTTTGGAGATTTACACACGTGTAGGTTAAAGGGATCAAATACTACGTCATCACCAAACTCAACTTGAATCTGGACCTTTAATAAGAGTTTGACCCACAAGAACGCAAATCCTTGGAAGTTATTGCTGCGATCAAAATTGGCGGGTGGGTTGCGGATGCGGTGGTGGAAGCAGGCAGCCTTTGCTTCAGGGCTCACTTTTTGTTTCAACGTAGTGCTCCCACGAGCTCCGTTTGACCAGGTGTTTGATCGGTCCGGTCAAAGGATGCCATGTCTTAGTGCAACCCAGACGAGCTGACCAAAGCGCCGAAACGTAAGAGAGCAGCAGGAGCATCTCCAAATCTACTTTCGGTTCTTCTCCTTCCCCTTCGTCTTCAAGTCCCCCAACTCGGAGTCTCGCCCTACGACCTCGAAATGATAACCGCTTTCCGATCTTGCAGGAAGGATGCGACCGCTGCGCGCATGATAGACGCGATCACGCTCTCGCAGGAAGACTGTGTGCGCTACGTTCCGCCGGCCAAGCCGACGCACGTCGTCGTAAACCCGCCGTGGGGGCTGCGGCTAGAAACGCTAGACAGGTGAGGCGCCCGACTCGCTTCTCAAATGTGGGCGGAAAAAATGCTGTTGAGCTGGATAAACCACTTTTTCTTAAATCATCGAGAAACGCAATGTATTTCTTTTGAGCGGGTTGGCAGTCCGCAGACCTGCTTAACGGATATTGTGGAAATCATTCCAAAAATTTGGGTGCTGCTTGAAGCGTGACGAAACGCTTGGAAGTCTTAATTGGCCGCTTGAAAGTCCGAAGTTTCGGTTTGATGTTACGACCAATTCCCCTTTCCGAAAAGCCCATTCTGATCCACTCAAGGACGCCCTGCCTCAAAGCTATGTTTATTGGGTCAATCTATCTCTCGCTGACCCGCTTACTTGGCACAGAAAGACCATTTTGTCAATATTTGTCGCTAGCTCGTCTTGCTCCATGCCGTCTCATGTTTCTTTCATTCAGTATCTCAGTGGGACATCTGGCCCGTCGCCACCGATCCCCCTTCCTTAGCTTGTTTCTGAAGAAACCGTGACAGGTTTTACAGCATCCTCAGAAGTCTGGCCCGCCTGATCCACCCTAGGCTTTGCTCAAACTCTCCCCTGGAAACCCTTGCCAGTCCTATCTTGGTCAGGGTCACGAATCGCTAACCCTCCTCACTTCCTGACAACCCAGGGAAGCCCAAGAGGATGAGCACTACATGCTCGCATCGGCGTACCAAAAGCTGGGCGCGTTTCTCAAGGACCAATGCACGGGGGCCGACGTTTTCCTGCTAAGCGGCAATGCTGACGCGACCCGGAACATGCGCCTGCGGGCCGACCGGAAATGGCCGCTCTCCGTGGGGGGGATCGACTGCAGGGTGCTGCACTACAAGGTCCTACCCCCCCTGAGCGAGGAAGGGAGGCGGGCCATCGCGGAAGATAAGGAGGCGCGGAGACAGGGGGGTTCGCAAGAGGGGGGTTCGAAAAGCGGGCGGAAAGAGGGGGGGGCAAGGTATGGGGTTCGGGAGGGGAGGCCGTTAGAGGATTCGATCAAGGGGCGGAACACTGGAGGGAGAGGGGGGGGTGTAAAGTTTGACTGGAGGGATGACGTTGACGTTGAGAAGGCGGAAAGGTCGGAACGTGACAGGGAGAGCAAGACGAGCGTATGGTCCTAAAAAGAGTTTTAAAAAGGAGTGCAGTTCCTGAATTGGTGCTTGCAGCGGCTCGTAAGGATATCCAGACGTGTTTGCACCAACTTCAGAGACTTGTTTTTGTAAGGGATTTTGGTCTGACAGTCTTTTTTGGACAAGATAAACGAAGAGATGCCCGAACGGCCACATTCAAAGGTTTCCTTCAAGGCATCACGATCGGAGCTGATACATGCGTCGGTGCTTGTGAGCTTCCACTTATTCAGAAAAACCGAGTCAACTTAATTGATTAAGTCATGCATTTGAAGTGCAGTCACTCTGTTTTCAGCGACACTGAATTGTTTTTCAGAAGTTGAAAGACTTGGCTCTTTGCTTTCTGCATGGGCATGATGGCAGACCTTCCATGTTGGATTTGCCGCCACAATGCCTTGAACAGCCTCGTGACTGTATCCACGAGGTGGCTACGGTGCTAAATTAGGGCGTCGTGAATTCGGGCATTTATCGTCGATCGGTCGCACGACGGTCCCGGGATTTACCCCTGCACCCCGTGAGTACTTCCGAAATCTCACGGGGAATTCCCCGGGTGCGTCCCGGGGTCGCCGGGGGTCGGAACGAGCAATATTCAGAGGATCCCCGGGTTTTCCCGGGATAATATGGGGTTTTACCTGATAAATGTACCAACTTGACGTCACGCCATAAATATTTTAAAGAGATATATATCTGTGGAAATTTACATGCATGCTGCATGGGGTGTTCTGAGCATAATTACAAAGCGCCATCAGAAGTTGATCCCCAGAAGTGGTAGTTCATGGGGCTTTTGTAAAGGTTCCTCCATTTTGAAGGCGCCCCATGAAAATTACACAAAGCTCCTCCTTCATATAGCTTTGGGGAGGAGGATGAAGTGGGCCGTGGCCAAACCTGCCCGGTTGAAGCCTGATTAGAATGTGGTACGTACTGTCCAACGCTCGCCGACTCGCGAGTAGGTACCGTCGGTCCCCCTTAGTACGGTATTAGCAGTGACTCTCGAGTACCGCATAGGTGTCTGGGCGGGTACCTACCGGTTTTCCGAGTCGGTACCATGAAAAGGGATGTACCGTACACAGTTGAATGCTAACCCAGGGCCTAGGCCCCTTTACTACCTATTTTCCGTATAGCTCTCCCAGAGCGGTTATCAAGCGATCGGTTTACCGGATTACCTTACCGGTATTCTGACATGTAGGTACCTACGGTACCTATGTCGTGTTTCGTACCGGCGTACCATTGAAGCCGAAGTCATGTGGCCCGTGGGTACCTACCGTATTTATCGTGGAAGGACCCATACCGGTCCCGACCGCTACGGGTAAAATAGGTGGGTAAGCTACCGGTAGGTACCGGCCGTATCTACCTACCGTACAAGTTTACGGGTACATTTAACTCATAGGTATACGGTAGGTGGGTATTACTAGGTAGGTACCGTAGGTACTACCTGAGTAGGCTAGTACCTACGGTACCTACTCGTACCTAGGTACCTTGCTACCGTATGCGCGGCGCCCGGGATAGTGCCGTTGACTAAATCTTTCCAACTACTGGTATCGAATCGAGAACTGAGACTTGCGGCCTTGGTTTGGCTCCCCGTAGGACTCTCGCGCCGTCCCACGACGGTGCCGCGATAATCCCCTTTCGAAAATTGTATCGATGTGGACCTCGCGTGGGCGGTCCCGGGACGGACCCGGCACCGACCCTCGTGAATTGCGGCAATTCACGAGGATCAAATAAAGCACCGTAGATATCTCGTGTCCGGCGTAACATATGCAGATCCGATCACTTCAATTCTCGGGTTCTCCGCATGCCAGCTGCATGCAATTGGCAATCCCAGCTAGAAACGACCGGTCCTCGGCCGTATTGCATTTAAGTTTATTCCTAAACAATTTATTGCATACGTGGTTTATTCCAAAACCCAGTCTCATAATCTGCGTCTAATGATGGGTATGCATATCCGCCTTCCGGACAACTGCAAAGAAGCCGAAAGCCCATGCCGCTTCTAAGAGATGGCTTTAGCCTACAGATGTTACTGTAATTGCTCATCGAGCCTAGCTAGAGCCCAGCGCGCGGAACATGCAGGTGCTGGTTGCGGCCGCCTGGCGTGCCGCGGCCGCCCAAAACCGTTGCTCAAAGCGCGCGCCGGGGCGGCCGCCCGTGTACGGTATGCTGCAGAGGAGACTGAGCTTCTTTGAGCCGTCCGATTCATCGAGACCCCGTAATCTGACGCTAAAAATTCGCCGTCCAGCTCCGCTGATCTGGCCACGCAGAGGACGATTTGGCGGGTGACTTTTGAAGCGTGGCGCCAGTCTGCGCAGTGCGCACTGCGGAAGCACTGCACTCACCTGCACTACTACTAGGTAACTCTGCCACTGCAGTCATGCATTGGTCCTTCCACTTCGAGTTCTGGCAGACTTGGCAGTGGCGAAGTGTCCATAGCATTTCCAAGGATTCTCCTTGATCCGGCTAGGGCATTAAAGAGGCTAAGGGCACCTACTCGCGTCAAGAAAAAGTTTGATTCAGGCTCTAGATGCTCACGCGGAGTCACGGACCAACAAGAAGTTTCCAGATGCTTGGCCGCAATTGATCCTGGATTCGCAGACTTTGGTTTGTACCAGCATTTGTAGGATTGAGCATTGTTCCCGGCTTTATTTTTGGGGAAAGTCTGCACCACCAAGTACGTCAATACCTAGCGCAAATTACATCAGGAGCGCTGATTAGCAGGGGTAGCCAGGTCTGACTGCAATCTGCAGATTTGACAATTGATCGTTCCATATTGATGTGCAGACAACTGGTGAGGAGCTGCGAGCTGGCAAACACTGACGCATCGAGCAGCTCTGCATCCCTCAAAAGGTCAAGAAGGCTGCAATGGGTCTCAGAAAAGCTGGAACCTCCAGACCTCGTCTTGTTGACAACGTTGCTGCCCATGCAAACGGACTAACGCACATTGCCTGGTCCACAAATGGCAAGCACGTTCTGACTGGGGGCTGTGATGGAAAGGTTACGATTGCTGTGGCCCCATCCAAGGATGTAGAGGCAAAGACAGTGTGCAGCATAAATGACCATGAGGAGCCGATCACAGCACTGGCCGTCAGCCCCAGTGGGAAGCACTTTGCGTCTGCGGCTGAAGATCACATAGTGAAGCTATACAGCTATCCTGGTGAGCTTTCTCTTAACTTCTGCTCTGCCAATACACTACAATTGCCCCAGCTTGCGTGCAAATGTTGGGTCCGCAACTGTCACAGAAAATCCCTTCAAAAACTCAATCCTTCCAGCTTGTTTTGTTAGGAAGTCATCAGCAAGATAAAGAGGCACACTTGACAAAGACTCTGTAGAATCAATATCCACTTCTAGATCCTCCAGCACACTTGGTCAGAAGCCTCGTAGTATCTTTAGAGCCGATCTCTGGATACCTGCATCATTTTGGTGACTTAAGACCTACTTGTCAGGTAAGTCCGCTATGCTTGCCAAAATCTGTGGAAAAGATGTTCTGACTGCGTCCAGATCCTCTAGCACGTCAGTTCAAAGCCTTTGAATTCTTGCGGAGTTCCTTTAGCTGTCCCCATGAATCAGGACTTTCTCGTCCTTTGCAGATAGCAAGCTCGATGGTAACCAGAAGCCTCTTCAAGCACTTCAAAGGCAATCGCTGAGAACCTGCAACTGTCTCCATGACTCGCGAATCCTTCCTTCCTTTTGCAGATGGCAGGTTTGACAGCAACGTCACGCGCTTCGCCCTGCCCCTCCGCTCCCTCGCCTTCAGCGCCACCGGCGGGACCCTCGCGGCCGGGGGCGACGACGAGGGAATCCGTCTGATCTCCGTAGCCGATGCCTCCATCTCACAAGTGCTGAAAGGGCACCGTGGCTCCGTGAGCAGCCTAGCGTTTGACCCCCAGCACACACTCCTCGGCAGCAGCGGCAGCGATGGCACCATTTTGGTGCATGACATTGAGGCGGCAAAAGTGGTACACGAGCTGCGTGAGGTGGCGCCGAAAGGAAAATCAGAGGAAGGGTTTGGGAACACAGTGGGGTGGCATCCGGACGGGAAGCTGATGGCGGTACCTGGGGCGGAGAATCAGGTAAGTCGGTCCGAAGGTCAATTTCGTTCGTCCCCGTTCAAAGGGTTTTACTCGTGGGCCCAAGAGTGAGGAAATCTGTTCAAAGTTCATCTCGCTGATTCCCGTCCTAAAGGGCTTACCTCCTGGGCTCGAGGATGAGGTGTATCTATTCAGAGATCCCTTAGTCAGTTTCCATTTCCAAGGGTTTTCTCCAACATAGGCCGTGATGTTAGGAAGGTCCTCTTCTCCCTGTGCATAGGGCCTGGTGGTGTGATCTTGTAGTATATTGACAGTAGCTAGGCAAATATCTGCTAGAAGAGAACGGGCTTGCTCTCTCCATTTGGTAAATACTCATCAGAGACTGCGTCAGTGGAGGCGTCCATCCACCTTCATCAAAGAGTATGCTTCACCTGAAGATGCACCACGGCAAATCTTGACGTCACTTCTCTGCTGTCAACAGATTCTATACAAAGACCGTGTCAGCATTTCGATTACCTACACTTCCAATCAACAAGTAACTTGCAAGGTGACCCCGACAAGTTCCTGAGTCGCTTCTCGTCCGTAAACAGATCCTCATCATAGACCCTGTTGGCAAAGAGTTCCATTTTCTCTAAACGACATTCACTTGAGGCGCTGAAAGTTGCCTTTACCCACAAACAAAGAGTACGATACTCACAAACATACCCTCCGGCAAATGTCCAACGTCAGTCCCTTCCTGTTGACAGATCCTCGTCATCGACCGAGTCAGCGGAGAGGTCGCTTTCTCTCTGAGCGACATCCACACACAGGCGGTGGCCACTCTTGCCTGGTCTCCCAATGGCCGCTACCTCGCCAGTGCAGACCGGGATCAGGTGGTTCTTATTTGGGACATGGCAAAGCGGGATGTTTTGGGGCGGTATGATCACGTGGCCGACATTTCGGGCCTTGCGTGGCGGCCCGGCGGGAACGACCTGGCAGTGGCAGACTGGGGAGGCAATGTGAGGGGCCAGAAATCACATGTTCCTCAATGCTGACACCTATACGGGCCTTTATCGTTTTTGCAGTCCTCTTCAATTTGCAACTTTTGACTCGTCATGTATTTTGGCAAGCTCTCCGAAATCAAGATGTTTTGTTTTGAACTACAGGACAGGACTCTCATTGTTACGATGTTGTAAGTTAGCTTGCCTGTTGATGACAGCAGTACCAGTAACACATTCAACATAAAACTATAAAAAAATTGTTGAGAGAAATGTTTCCACAAGGGGTTTCTTTCAAGATCATAATCTTCTGCACGAAGCTTGTCCAGCTCCGACTTCAGCTGAGCCCGACACCGCTCTCATCTTGCAGTACGGCATCTGGGAGTCCGCCATCCCCTTCCACCTCCCCAGCCCCTGCGGCTCTTCCGAGGCCGTCGAACCAGAAGTGTCCCTCCGTTTCAGCATGCACGACTCGGACGAAGACGACAACTCACCCAGAAACAGTCAGGGCACCAGCAGCGGAGACCCAGAACTAGACGGCGATGACGAAGAAGCCCCGGGAAAGGAAACCCGACATGCGCCGCCGGCTAAGAAGGCTGCCAAGCCCGTTGCGAAAGAGGGAAGTGCGCTGGCAAAGGAAACTAGGGATGAGGTCAGGATTGTGGCGGCGGCGGTGCCGATGCAACCGCCGTTTCAGTCCGGGGGCACAAGCGGGAACACCAGCCGGCGGCACTTTCTGGTGTACAACATGCTGGGGTGCGTCACATCGCAGCAGGAAGAGGGGCATGCGACGGTCCAGGTAGGTGTACTGATCAGTACTGGTCTTCACTTCATGTGCTATTTGCTGCTCATTGCTTATCCGTTGACTATTCAGCTGTGCCTCGTGAAGGTCTATCATGTGCTTGATCGACCTGGAATACAGGGAGTCTTGAGACCAGATCCTGCGCCACATAGTCATCTCTTATGAAGGAACCTCTGATGAAGCTCAGATTCTGGGGTGCGCTGCACTGCCGGGGTCAGGCGCTGGGGTTTGGAGGCTTCTATCTGAGCTCAGCAACAGTCCGCGGAACGTTTCAAGAAACGGTCCGACAGGGCCCGTTGTTCAAGAGCTTTTCGCTTCAGAAGCCCTGACATCAAGTTGCCACACCTGCCCCTCATGCATTCCCTAACACCAACCCCAACTCGGCATTCCACAGATGATCTAGAAGAATTTGCCGGCCCGATCAACTTCCCTCCCATTTTTGCTGGTAGAGTTCCCGACACCAGCCACGCCGGCAGTCGCCTGGGTCGTGCGGTCAGCCAAACCTGCGATGGCCCTTTTCTCGATGCAGAATCCCAGACTTTCAACAGCCACATACGTTAAAAAAAATTTCCGGCCTGATCATTTTCTCTCCCATTTCTGCAGGTAGAGTTCCACGACACCAGCCGTGCCGGCAGCCGTCTCCCCGCCCTCACCGACTTCTTCGGTTTCACAATGGCTGCCCTTGGAGACGCGGGAGCGCTCCTCGCGGCGCCGAAGCGGGGCGGCAAGTCGCCGAGCGCTCTCATGTTCCGGCCGCTCTCGAGCTGGGCGCCAAACGCGGAGGTGGGAGTTTTATTGCTTCTCTGCCGAGTAGCGCTCTTGCTCTTGCTCTTGCTCTTGCTCTTGCTCTTGTTTTTGCTGCAGAGTTGATGAAGTTTCTGCAGCCCGAAAGAGTGGACACTCCAAGTGTAGACCATTCTCGAGCTGGGCCCCGAATGCGGAGGTGGGTACCTTTTCCTGCTTCTCTGCCGATTGTTGTTCTTGCTGCCGGATCTGGTACGAGTTTGCGGAGGTGTAGTGTCAAATCTACAAGTAAGCCTTGTTCTCGGGCGGGCTTTTATCTGAACGCCAAACCTCTTGCTCAGGAACCTATTGAATCTGAAAAAGCTCGAGGGGGTCCGCAGATTGGCGCCGAAAGCAGCCTACCGCGAAGATCGATGGGCGATTTCAACTATCTCGCCGTTTCAACAATTGGAATCGGCAAAGTGACCGTGCACGCAACTCCGTCTTTTGCAGTGGTCTGTTCGCTTGCCCGAGAGCGAGGAAGTGCTGGCGATCGCTCTGGGGCGCTCCTTTATCGCCGCTGCCACTTCCCTCGGTGTGCTGCGGATATTCTCTCTGGCCGGGGTGCAAGTAAGGCGGTCGTCTCATGTGCCTCGTCCGTCTAACGTCGTTCTTTGGATGTTATTGCTGATACGGCCCGAGAGGAACATTCTCGACTCCACCGTTTGTGCTTTTTCCTTCTGGTCAAGTGATTTGGGGTTGCTATCACGATGGCCAGAATACTCCCGGTTCCAGGAGGAGCACTTGACAAGCCACTTTCACGCAGGCGCTCTTACAGAGTGATGGCTGATTGCTTTCGATTGGAATTTTATTTTCTTGATCTTTTGCTTTTCGGTCGTTTTAACGAAACCATTTCTGCAAACGGAGGTGTCAAAATAACGAAGGGTCCGCTCGTTATTTTGACAAGACCCGCGTTCGCCACCAGGATCCTTAATAGCCTCTTTGCAGCGCTTCGTGGAGTTTTCAAGCCCAAATCTGGCATCTCTGGTAGAAAACCGTATGATTTTCTGAGTAGTTAAATCTTTCCCACTTTCTGGAGACGAGGAGTTTACGCAACAGCTCAGACTTGGCCTGCAGCAAACGTTAGAAAAATTGGTTTTGTGGTTTCTGAAGTTCATGCCTTCTTTTGCAGCGTTTTGTGGCCAGCTTATCCGGGCCCGTGGTGTCTCTGGCTGCGCACGAGAGCCGACTGGCGGTCGTGACCCACGCGGGCGCTCCTCTGCCGGATGGAAGCCAGGTCAGCACCCGGGGTTTTTGCTTTCTCTCTCTCATTCCGCATTTCATATTTCCCTCGTCTCGGACACCCTGTCTCTTTCTCCTTTGTTCCACGAAGACTCGCACCCTCTTGCAATCCCCCTAACCTGAGGAGGGGAAGCGATTCCGGTTCCTGGGAAAGACGACATTGCGGACAAGGCAACTCCCTTAAGCAGATCTCGTTCCGTGTCTATTTTCGAGAACGTGGAGGGGGGAAAAAGCGCGTACGCTCAGAGCCGCCTGCTCGGCGATTTAAAAAGTACTCTAGACTGGCCTTGTATCTGCCAATATTGCTGAGGTTGCTCACTGAACCGTTCTTTCCAAATCTTTATAGCCATAGCTATACTAGTTTTGGGAGTCGCTGAGTGGGACTTTTGGTCGCTGAGTGTTGTCCTCTTGTTGTCGACCCTCTCAAGACTCGCGCATAGAACCGTCATCTGCGTTCCCTTCGCAGGTTTGGGAAGTCGCTCAGTTGAAAATCAAGTCGCACGCGCTGTCAATGCGTTGGCAAATGTCGCCAATTCCCAACGCTCGTGCATATGACTAATTTGCTGACTTTGTACTCTTTTGCGCAGACTCTGGAAGTCGCTCAGTAGACTGCCGGGTCGCACGCGTTATCTGTGGGTTTGGCAAGTATGACCGATTCCCCACATATGACCAGGTTTTTCTTTTTCACTGGATTTCGCAGGTGCTAGAAGTCGCTCAGTGGGACATCGGATCGCACGCGTTGTGTGGCCCGAGGGGCGCGCCCCTGAGGCTGGCTCTGAGCCCCAAGGCTACGCTGACGTGGCTCGGCTTCACGGAGGAGGGCCAGCTGGCAACCTATGATTCGCAGGTGCGGAACTTCTGACAACCCACACGAACGGGTGTTCGAATCAGACTAATGCAATTGAGTGAAACTAATCCACGTGAATCAGACTGATTCAACTGACTCAGACTCACCCAGCTGAACTAGACTAACCCTGTTAACCTACACAACCCAAAAGTATTCAAAACCACGTTCGCCAGTGCATTGGGGCCAGGCCGCCAACGGCAGTTGTCCGATCGATGTCTGGTTAGCCTTCGACCTTCGATCTTCGAGAAGAGGCATCTGTTTGCTTTCGGATTTGTTGTGGAGGCAAAATCTTCAGGCTTAGGTCGGATGCATACATTGTGGCTTCGCTGCTCAAACAGCACCGCCAGAATCGCACTCCATCTCAACTCTAAAAGGTGCTGCGATTATGTGCCTCATCCTCTTTTTTCCGGCTCTTCGACTCCACTCGAAATGGAAAACCCCGCCTGCGTCCAGATTAGGAACTGAAGGAACGCAACTTTTTCGTCCTTCTTTCAGGGGATGCTGCGCGTGTTGGTCGAAGAAATGGGCGGCTGCTGGGTGCCTTTCTTCAGGTGAGCTTCTTCAAATGACTCACGCAGATTAGTAAGCAAGGGACCGGCCATCGGACGTCTGGTTTGGGCCTTCGAACGGTAATAAGGACCTTGGACTTACATTTGTCTTCCAATCTTGGAGCCCGGAACTTCAATGCCATAACTCGCTTTGAATATGGTCAAACCAGAGGGCTTCAGGCTGCCCCTTTCCCTTTCTGCATTCGAACTCGCCTAGGAAGAGATGTGAGCATTGTGTCAAGTCAACCCCTTGGATAAGAGCGATCTCTGAAAGAATATCAGTTCGAGGCAGTCTCGCACACTGCTCTGGTCCTCAGCAGAGCGTTTTTCCTAGACGAATATTGCCTGTTACTCTTCAGTACCCGTCCCGGGATTGCCTGCACAAGACGATAGGATCTTCCCCGCCTTTTCTCACTCCTAAGAAGACGCACCTTTTTATCGCAGTTCTGCGAGCGAGCGGAAGAGTGCAAGCGAGCGCCACTGGGTGGTGGGCGTCGGCGACAAGGACCTGTACTGCATCCTGTGCAAGGCGGACGGACCGGACGCACAGCCGCAGGTGAGGACGACTTTCGGACGGTCCGCATACACAACCGTGGATGTGAGGCTGATCTTGGACGGTGGGGATATCAAGATACGAGAGACTTCTTCGACGGACAAGCATTTATACAATCGCTGAAGGCGATTTTTGCATGGTCTGACTTTTAATGAGAGGCTTGAGAGGATTAATGGAGGGCCGAATGCTAGTAAGCCCGAGGCGAAACCCTTCGGACGGTCAAGATGCTAAAAGCTCAGCTGCGGCGCCCGAACGGAGGAAGATCGGAGGAGTCCTGCTCCCACAGTCTTGTTTGCGCTGCTTTCATCTTAACCGTTTGTTTCCAACGCAAACAGATCTTGAAGCGACTATTTACTCCTGAAGCCCCCGTGGAAGAAGAATTGCTCATCTGAGCTGCTGCTGAATCGCACGGCACAACGCATCCGAACAGGGCTTCCTGTAGGATCTTTTGCAACTTGTCTGACTTTAGTGTACTGCAAAAGACAGGCCGCCTGGTGCTTCGACTTAACTGTGGACAGCTCAGGTTTGTCGGGCCATTTTGCTTTCCTCGAAGTATATTCCGCTTGCGAAAGCTGCAAACATGGTCAGACGATCCAGAAAGACGACCCCGACCCTACGTAACAACATTGTTCAAGCGAGCGTTACAGGCACTGAAGGACTGATAACCAGATTGGCGACAGCTGTGTCGATGCTAGTACAGGATCGTGTTCACTTAGGAACAGATCTGCAGGCCAGGTTAGGTTGGTTTGGGGGTTTCGGATGGCCTAGGGTGTGGACCGCATAGTCGTTGAAGTTTCCAATTTTGCTTTGTCTGTGCACTAAACGGTTCTTGAGGTAATTACCCGCTAAAAAAGGGCGTATGATCGCGGCCCGAAACGTCAGCACTAGTCATGCATAAGCAGAGAGTAGAGCTCGAGGAATATCACCGACACTTCGATCTCTTGGCGACACAGGCGCAGAGGGGCATGGTTCCAGTTGCCATGTGACGTCAGTAGGAGCGGTACCGTGAACACCGATGTCGTCAGGTTGCGATACCCGCGCTTTTTTCCATGCCAGGTGGCCCCCGCCCCCGTGCTCCGGCTGCTCCCGCTGGCGGTGCCACTTCCGGAATGGTACCGCTTTTGAGCAGTTTCCAGGGGTTCCCAGGGGGTTGACTTCGCCCTTTTTGTCCGTGACAGGTGACCCTCCGCCCCGTGCTGCGGCTGTTCCCTCTGACAGAACCTCTTTTCCTCGAAAATGTGCCAACAAACAAATTTTCCAGGGGTTAAATTTTTGCTCTTTCGCCCGTGGCAGGTGACCCCCCGTCCCGTGCTCCGGCTGCTCCCGCTGGCGCTGCCGCTGCTTCCGGGGGACAGCGCCGCCCTGGAAGAGGAGGGCGTCAGGCTGACGTTGCAGCGCGCGCGCGCGCAGGCGCACCCCAGGCGAGAGGAGGAGATCCTGGGGCTCGAGACCGCCCTGGACAGGAACCTGGTGCGCCAGATGGCGGCCGCCTGCGCAGGTACGTAACGCTGTGGGTCTTTTCTGTGGGTCTTTTCTGTGTGAGCGTTACGTGCTCTATGAGAAGATCTTGGGGCCCGAGACCGCCCTAAACAGGAACCTGGTGCGCCAGATGGCGGCCGCGTGCGCAGGTGGGAGGAAGCGTAACGCTCTAAGGGTTCCGTGATACAGGCGTTACTTGGCAACAAGCGGCAGGAATCTTTACCGCTCTTCCTGTGCGGGCCAGCTGGATCACACCGTGGAGAATTGTACTTTCGACTCCGTTAGGATTGCTGCTTAACCTCTCGGAGCGTTGCTGCATTACCCAACTCGAACGGCTGCCAAGGTGAACCCAGTGCCCGAAGACTCACGGACACTGCTACGGACACTCGGAAGGTTGTCCCACTTATATGACAGTCCCGGACGCTATTGAATAGTGATGCTAGTTCGCACTGCTCGAGCAATTGTCAAGGACGGGCCCGACGAATGTCCCTGCTCTACTTTCCGTACTATTCATTCTGGACGGGTTGCTGACGACATAGCGAGAACAACGCGGTGCACCGCTCGAGCGATCTCTGAGGACCATCCCGAAAAGCCCGTTCATTCTCCTTTCCGTCTCTTTCGTGTTGGACAGCTCCCTGACGTCATCAGGAGAGTCCTGCAGGCTGCACCGCGATGCGCGCGCTCGAGCTATTGTCAAGGACGGCCCAAAAAGCCCTCCGCTCTCGTTGTCGTACCCTTCGTTCTCCACAGCTTGCTGACGTCATCACGAGGCTCTTGCTGACGTCATCCAGTGGTTCCCGCAGGCGACAACGCGGTGCGCGCGCTCGAGCTCGCGAGCCAGCTGGTGCTGCACAAGTCGCTGGAGGGCGCGCGGCTGTACGCGTCCACTCTGCGGATGGGCGCGCTGGCCGATAGGATATCCGCCCTGCAGCAGGTGAGGGGGGCGCTTATGCTTCTACGCTTAGATCGGGGTGCTGCTGCATAGGAGATCGGGGCGCACTTTGTGGAATACTGCTTAGGTCGAAGCTCTACCTGACACATCCCTACTGTTCATCCTAGTAAGCGCTTGTAGGATGACAGTCGACGGGTTGCAAATAGGCAGTTCATCATAAACAGGGTTAGCGCCTTTGCCTACCCAGAACGTCCCCAGGGGTTCGTACGGGGGCACGTTGACGGTTCCCCGGTTAACCTTCTGGCAGCTTTCGCAAAGCGCGCTCTCTTTTGCAAACGAATCGCAGATGCACTTTTCGTTCAAGTCGATAATAAGTCCCTCTAAAGATACGCGCGGCAAACGAATCACAGATGCAGTTTTCGATTAAGTGAATAATAAGTCCCTCTAACGATACGCGCGGCTCTGCAACCCGCTCACTGTTTCAACCCTGTTTATCCCTGTAGCACACAGGTCTGTGGTATTTAACCAGGGCTGGCTAACCCCCTATTAGCAGCTGACTCGGCTGCTCAGGGCCTGCCTGAAGCCTGGTTAGGGTCTTTGGTTAACAGAAACGAATCTGTGCAGGACCAAATGGATGCGGAGGCCTCTCGCCCCCCTCCCGCCTACTCGACGACCCCCGTTCCGTCCGTCCGGCCGCCCTCCTTCCCTGGCACCACGACACCTCTTCCGGCGGAACCTCGAGAGCCCCAACTGCCACCCGTTACCCCGGCGTTCACTCCCGACCTCAACCCTGCGTCTAAACCCTCATTCACGCCAGCCCCGAGCTCTAATCCCGACGTCACACCGGCCAAGCCGCAAGAACCGGCCGCCACTAAGCCCTCCCAACAGAAAGAGGCCCCCGCTACGGTGTCAAAACCGGAGCTGAAAATATCTTCCGTGTTTGGGGTCGCGAAAGAGATGAAGCCGAGCCCGTTTGCGAAAAAGGCGGCGCCCGCGGTCAAGGAATCGCTCATGAGCTCGCTGAGCTCGGCGCAGAAGCAGCAGGCCGTCGCGGCCGCGGCCGCGGCCGCGGGTGGGTTGAAGAGGAAGGGCTTGCAGAGCAGCGGGATGAGTAACGTCGCGAAAGCTCCCAGGAAGTAGGTGCGGTTGAGGAGCAGCGGAAGTCTTTGCGTTACAAAAACGATGTTGATCAGCCACGAAGGTCATCAAACACTGACCTTCCCAATCAAGCGCGGATTCCATCATGCGTACTCCCTTTCGGCGTGTTTGGATCCGCGAACCGTGTTGTTTGTTTCAGGTGGCATGTTGATGCGACGTACGTGAATGTCAGAGTCCATCTCTCTCATCGAGCTTCGAATGGTGGAATGGTGCCGGCACGTGATACCTTAACGGGACAATGATTGAAATATCTCGAGAGGAGATGCAACATGTGTTATGCTTCTCGAGAAGATAGGCTCGTCCGTAAAGGCTTGCATGGTCAAGTACTTTGTCACTTAGTCGGTGGATGAGTAGAATGATTGGGTATACAAGCCCGTCACTGACTCTGCAGCAGAATCGACATATTCATGCTGCATGCCGCAAGCTAGTGGCATCCTAGAGCTAGCTTTCTGGTTCTGCAATTTTTACAGAAGATATCAAGATCCAATCCAGAACTTTGTCAAGAGGCGGTTAACGGCCACTATGCATGAGTCCACCGTGCAGCGCGGAACGGTCCCCATGTCCAAGTAGCATGCAGACGCGGTTGGGGACTCCCGGATTGTCACGGCCTCTCAATACTATATATAGTTTTGCGACCCGCCAAATACGATCTCATGACTGTTGTATTCAAACATGGCACCGGTTTTTACTTGTCAATCATGCGGACAGGCTGGGGACTTCTAATTCAGTCAAGACATCATGAAAGAGCTTCAGTCCAGTGTTCTGGAGAATTTTACACAGAGGTGTTGAAAGAAGAGACTGTGTAATTGGTTTTGACACAACACAGAGACAACAAAGAGACGGTCTTCTGAGGAGCAAGCGGGTCAGCCATCCACTTTACGAGGTCAGAAAGCTCCCTTGCAGTAGCAAGCTTTGAGGAAGGGAACGAGGTCATCTTTCGTTTCTGAAGCTTCTTCGAATCTGAAGCAATGTGGCACGTGAAGCAGGAGCTACTACTACAGCTGTTTAGCCACTCCATCGATCCCCTCACCTGCAATAGAACGCAAGCGAGCAGTTCGCGCACTTGCTGAAAGGCTTGCCAGCGGTTTCCAGGGGCTCAGCTTCGCACAGACTCCAAGAGCAAACAACAGGCGTCTCGCTGCGACCAGTCACACGTGCTGCCAAAAGCTTTGAAGGAAGATTGCGAAGGTTGTCCCCCCAACGCATCTCCGCCTTCACAAGTCTGAGGAACTCGGCTCTTAGCTCCAATACTCTTCTCCTGTCGCATTGTGGATCACGAATTTGTCTATCCGTCTCGAGAAGCTTCTTTTCAAGTGCTGCATAGTGCCGTTTCGCGAGTTTGGGTCCAATCCGCGGATAGAGTTCCTTCAACAGTTGCGAGTTATGTGACAATTTTTCATTGATGTCCTCTCTACCTGACATTCTCGCTATTGCAGCGTGGATCCTGATCAAGCCCTGGTCAACGGCCCATTGCTGGCCTTCTTCGGAGATTGTCAATGCATATGTAAGAAGCAGGGTGCAATCAACGGCCCTCGTAACCAGTTCAACCGGCAGGGATGGCAGCCCCGCAATCTTGTCGGAGAGAAGGTGCTCAAGGGTTGGAAAAGATCGTCAAGCTCTCTGACCATGAGGCGGAAAGTTCTCGACACCCTGGAGAAGTAGACAAAGCCATCAACCATTTGCAGTGCAAGGTGAAGACCCCGGATATCAGCGGGATCGGTCTGCTGACCGTATTCTTCGAACAGAGCTAAAAAACCTCCATAAGCGTCCAGTAAAACTCTGGCCAGCTTGCGTGCTCTCCCCTCGTCTTGCACACAGAACCTTGCAACCACTTGGCTTTCAGACAGCGCCACAAGCACCGGAAGAGCGTGCATACCAAGTTTCAGATGCATGTGTTCTCCATCCACGGTAAGCTGGCTCCTGTTAGTGAGGTTGAGCACCTTTTGGAGAATGTCTTTCACAAACGCACCGCCCTTGTAGGCTAGAAGCTCTTGGAGCAGTCTCAAGTACCTGTCTCTTGCACAGTGGCTTTCTGCGCCCTGGGCCCTTAGCTGCTTAAGCTCCGTGAGCGCATCATAAACTGTGACAGGGAACGAGGGCATGAGCTTCGAAGCAAACTCTTCGACTAGCTCCTCCATATTTTCAAGTCTACGTACCTACAATAATCGCCAACCTTCCAGACGTGCTGCGTGCTACACTTAATGAAGATGTGAACCTTAGCGAAGAGTGCTGCTGCTTGACATTACCATCGAAGCAAATCCTAGGGGCAATGAGAGTCCTCTGCCTGCGCTTCCTGAAGCGGACCGTTTGTGCGCACGCACTGTAAGAGCCACTCTGCCTCAAAGAAAGTAGCAGCTCCGACTCCGGAAGCTCCGGAACAGCTTGACTTAGCGCTGTTGAGATTATCGACCAATCGAACAGAAATATCCAAGATCAATGAACTTGAACAGCAAGGCAAATGAAGTTCGGCATTAAATTTGAGCCACTGAGAGTGCGACATGTCAGCCCCCCGGCCCAGAAAGGTTGCAGGTGGCTAGGTGAGGGGTCCATCCCGGTCGAAAGCTGTCCGGATTCACGGTATGGTTGACTGGGACCACCCGAGCACTCACTTAGGAACAAAAGCGAATATTTTGCCTTTTGTTCCTAAGTGGGTAACATACATGTATACCGTACCGGTCTTTGATTTAGGCACATTGGACGCCCAATATTTATTTATGAATCAAAAAACCTTTCGGCGAGGCCAAAGGAAAATTTCGGATATTTTAGGCGAGACATATTTTCCGTGGTAAAACATACCATTATCACCCATTACCGCGCAAAAATGTTTTCCCACCTTTTCGGCGTCGATCTTCAAACTATTTCTAAAATTTTCGGCGGACCAAATAATTATTTATTTTTTGCCTAAATCAAAGACCGGTACGGTATTTACTAAAAGTCCCAAAAGAAAACAAACTGTACTGTTATCTATTATAATTCTCTTCTGAAAAGTCGCATATAATGTAAATGAGATAATTTATGGTATGGCCTTACTACATACATATTCGCAACACGCCCCAAAGGGGAAAGTCTTGTACTGCTAATCTGTTATAATTTTCTTCTGAAAAGTCGATTATAATATTTACTAATCCCCTTGGGTATGGCCTTACTACATACATAATTGCACTGAATGCCAAAGGAAGGAAAGTCGTACTGCCTATCCGTTATGATTATTTTCCTCTGGACAGAAGAAAAATACAACAGATAACAGTATAAGATTGTCGAAACCTCCTGGATCGTGCCAATATGTATGTAAGTAGTGTTGCCCTCGTGACTCGTCGGCTCAGTGGGGCATGCATATATTGTCTGGCATGAGCATTGTAAATTCCGGCGCAGCTGTCACGGCCTCGCAACCTCTTGTCTGTCCTGTCTACCCGTCTGTAGGCTCCGTAGATTATAATATTCTAACATAATACCAGAGATGGTCTAGGTAAATGCCGGAGACTTGGACCGAACTCCCGTCTGTGCTGTTTTCCCGTCTGTATTCTCGGAAATTACAAAACGGTCGACATATTGGCTGAGTTGGTCGCAATAGGCCGGGAGACTTGGACGGAACTCCCGTCTGTCCTGTCTTCGTGTCTGTAGGCTCCGTAAATTGTAGCATTCTAACATATTGCGAGAAGATTGAGCTATAGGCCGGGGGAGTTGCACCTTTCTCCTGTCTGTCCTGTCCTCCTGTCTGTACGTTCGGTGGATTATATAACGTACGGAAATTTTGCTAAGATATGGGGCGACATAAGCCAAAGGAGCTGCGGTTTTCACCAACGTCCTGTCTGTCCTGTCCTCCTGTCTGTAGGCTCCGTGAATTACCACATTGCGACGTATTGCTCGAGAAGATTGAGCTATAGGCCCGGCGACCTGCACTTTTCTCCTGTATCATTCTGTTGAAGTACTAGTAGTAATACTATATCGTTGACCATGAAAATGCCCAAGGGAAAGGGGGACGAAGCTTGTCTCCGCCACTTGAGCAGGTAGCTCGGTACTTGGGGCCGCTAGCTCGTGTCAGCAAGTTAGACCCTAGAGTAGCTGCCGAGCAGCTTCAGGAGAAAGCTGCTTTCAAGGACGCACCAATTCGAGCTGTGAGACAGCTCAAAACCAGGGCCAGCTGCAATGGCGCACTACAACACTGTGCGGCAGCTTTGGGAGAGGCGCGCCAGTTGCTGGCAGCAGCCAACTATGGCGCAGCGTGAGAGGCGGCTGCCTCAGGCTGGATGGCCCAGCTGGCAGGTACAGGATCTGGCGCAGCGCAAAGAAATGCAGCTCGATTTTAGGAAGCTGCAAACTGGCATTGGCAAGCGCTGGCACACTGCGGCAAGCTTCGGCTGGTATCTAGTAGTAGAGGGTGCAGAGGGTGAGCTGGCGGTGGCAAGCGGTGGCACGAGGCGGCGCGCAATGGCGCCCTCAAGCCACCTTGCATGCTTGCCAAGTGGCTGAGAGCCACATCAGCTTGGAAGCTTCAAGAAGCAATTCTTAAAGTTGAAAGGGGCTTATGGTCAGTATAGAAGCATATTCAAGGGCAGCACATGCAAGGAGACTGGCGCGCTCTTGCAAGCAGCTGGTAAGTACCGGTCTCTCTCTTTTCCTCATGCGCACTGACCAGTCCCCTCTTTGACGCACCCTGCATGCTCTGCTGTTTTCGTTTAATAGAAGGATCACAGCACATCCACAAAAGTGCTGGTGTTTGCGAGTCATGTTGCAGCAGCTTGGCACTAGGGCACCCACCGTGTCCCCTCCCAGTTGTCATGCGGAGTTTCCCAGCGCGCTTGGCGCTACATGTTCTGAGGCTCATGCGGATGGCAGCTCTTGCTTACAACCCAACATTCCTTACGATGCTTAAAAGTCAACCATCAAAAGGGTGTTCAGAAAGCATGGTTGCGCCACCGTCAGGCTAAGATTTGGAGGGTCTTCTGTTGGTGGTAGAAGAGAAAGATGCATGTCATTCGTGGCTTCTATCAGCATGGTGTGTTCGATTGTACATCAATAGCATATGCAGGCTTTTTTCGATTATACTCTTGCTGAAGCATTACTGTTCTTGTTTTTCTTCACAGGTGTGTATGGGTATTTTCCCTCAACAATCTGTGCACCTGAAGGAAATCGCATATGCTTGGATTGGCTGGTGAGTATCGCTGACAAGTGCGCCGTGGGCAAGCTTCTGAGTCAATGCTCAATTGCAACAGTCCAGGTCTGCTGCTCTTAAGCATCTTTTGTACGTTTTATCAGCCTGCTCATTATTTCAGCGATCAAGCTTTCGTTTAAGAGTTTTCAGCGCTTCCTCGCCTCGTCAACTCCGCCCCACGTTTTTGCAGACAATGGAGGAGACTAGTCCACCTGGTAGCTGCAGTTCTGGGGATACTTCTGAAAGTGCTCAGATGCCGCTACAAGGCCTGCAGGTGAGATGGTGGATCAGAGGGGTCAGCTGGCCAGGGCCTTCACTCTGCTCTATCCACTTGCAAGTGTGCAGAGGTTGTTTTATTGAGGACCTTTGCTTGATGTCAGGATATGCATCTTCTAGCACCACTGCACGCTTGTCGCTCACACTCCTCGGGCGTGTTAGCCGTTCTTTTGCCTGATACAAGCACAGTTGCTGCTCACTTTTTTTGGAGAGCCATACGTCCACTTTTCATGACGTAAGCTCGGCTAGCTTAGTCAGCTCTCAAGACATCGCGTGTGCTTGCAGGTGCCGTACGTACGCACGAGCCCCAGTCACTTTGGCGCAAGTCTGAGTGAGAAGTCCAGTGATCAGACAGCGGCCACTGCTTCCAAAAAATGAAGTGATTTTGCTACATCTGATTCATTCCCTTGGGATCCATCTTTTTCCTTTTGGCTAGTCAACTCACGTGATTCCCGGTTGTCTCCTGTATGTTCTATTCTTTTATATCTATGTTTCGCTTTTCATCCCTATGTTCTGCTGTCCCTTGCAGAGGAGCGGAGCAAGCCCGAGCTGACCCGCATCCTTTCCGAAGGGCAGTACAAAGCCTTCGCCCCTCAAGCCGTCGCTCGGACCGTCCTCATAGGGATCAAGCGGGGCGACTTCCAGATCTCCGTCGGAATGGACGGCTGGCTGCTGAAGAACCTGAACGCAGCGTCCCTCCCGCAGCCGTACCTGAGCCAACTAGTGGTGGAGAGTTTACTGGCCGGGCTGCTGCGGATTGTAGTGCAGTTCTACAAGGCGGACTGGCACCGGACGATACGGAAGTGGCACCAGCAGCAGAAGAAGTGAGAGGACGGAGCCTGTGTCCTTTACGTGGTGTCAAAGTGTCTGTGACGATTTCTGAGCTTTCAAGAGTCGGTTCTACAAGGCGGCCTGTCACAGGACGTAAAGCCGAAGTGATGGAGCGCAAGCCTGTGCGCGTTGCTTGGTTGGAAATCACCTGCAACGGCTTTGAGCTTGACCATACAGCCAATGTGCTTCGAAAACGTGGGTTTCCAGTCGAGGATCGATACTGACAGAGAATGGGGACTCAGAAGGATTTGCATCCGCCCCGTTTTGTTGCGAGCATCGAACTCACAAGCCGTCCAATCTAATGTCGGACGGTTTTCATGAGTTGCACGTTTCTGCAGCCGAGGCTTGACCAAAGCTCTGCTGCTTGCGTCAGCACAGAGCAAAGCTTCGGCATGGTGCAAAATGCTCACTGGTCGTTCCTTTGGGAGACGTGTACGGATCAGAGCGTGGTTCGACTTACAAAAATTCCCAAATTGTTGCGCCTCTTTCCGACTCCCCGTATCTGACACCAAGCGAAAACGAAAAGCAATAATCCTGGCTTCTGATATATGTGAGGTGAACGGCTGTTTTGATCTGACATCTGGCGTTTTGGCAGCGTGATTATGGCAAGGCGTTTGCGTCGCTTTAAAAGGCAGCTGCCCGTGGACTATATGTTGCTGGGTGATTCCTAGTATTGCACCCGCTGCAAGAGTCGAGCACGTCGACGACTGAAAACACAAAGAAGCGAAAAAAGAGCAGCCTCTGGGTTTGTCCTGTGATGTATAACGGTGACTTATTTGACTCAGTGGGTTGAGACACCCGACTTACCCCCGGTGAAGTGCCCGTTCTAGACCAGAAGGAGTGTCCGTTTGAAAAGTTGCTAGTGGCGCTTTCAGGATTTAGCTTTGACTCGAAATCGAGCAACAGAGCCTGCTTGGATTGTGGATCTAATACGATGTTCCTACTCCTACTTTGCAGGCAAGGTTGAGGCCCGCATATCCTCAGTTCTGTAGGTTGGTGTTGTGAAGAACACGTGAGAGTGGATACTAGAACCGAACCGTGATGCTAGACAATATGCAAGTGTTTCGAGGCTTGTGGCGAAGTATATATGAGGCTCGCAACAATACTCTGCTAAACTGCAGAAATTGCAATCCTGTGAGTCATACATCTTTATACCACTGATTCAAACATACCGAACAATGACGCCATGCCAGCATATTAATCATGGGCCATGTATGCATCCGTTGCTTACGAAATCTTGCTTCACAAGGACTGATTGTACAGACCTATATACCAAGAGCTCTTTGCCTCCATGCTTATTTCCCCAATCGTGATTCTGGCGGCATGTTCAGGCGATGTAGGTACGTACCAAGAGCTTCTTCAATGGCGCATTAGGTGCACGGTTTCAGAGTTCAGGTTTTAGGTCGCAGCTGTTCTAGAAAAGCTACCGAGGTGGTGTAAACTTAGGCTATGTGCGGCAGAAACTCTGGAAGAGCGTATGATACAGAAAACACGCGGGCATGTCGCAAGATGCCATGTTGTGGCCACCCCTTCTAGCTTCTGATATACTAGAGTAGCCTGAAGTTCACAAGCTTGAAATGATCAGACTTACTCAGCGTTCCATTAAGAAGTGGGCAGGAGTATTCGCACATGGCAGACAGTTACCCGACTTGAATACCAATACTGCGTTAATGCATATGCAATTAATTAATACAATTAATACATGCGCTGAAGCATTGTAGACTTCCAGATGTACATGCAGTGATAAGCTTCCACACAAAACCTAGGAATTGTTGCTTCTATAATACGACGTGCTAGTTCTTGGATGCATGTTAGGTTATAAGCAACGCCGCAGGTCCTTGGCTTGCTTAGATTGCTGGCTTTCCCTTGTATTGAAGGCATAAGCTGCACATCTTGGACATATTGCACAAGCAGCTTTAGCTTTGACGCTGATGAGGACACCGAAAATTTGTCCATGAGTTGGACACGTGGCAGGCTCAAAGAACGTCTTAATCGAATGCAAGTGATTGATGTATGGACCGGGAGTGCCTGCGCGCTTCACAAATGGAGGCCCGAAGATTTGGAATAAGATCATAGGCGTAATTGAGAAACCGCAGACCCAATGTCTGTTGAAAGATGCTATGTCACGGGTTTGGACCGGGAGTGTCTGCGCGCTTCATGGATGGAGGCGCGAAGATTAGAATCAGACCGTGAACGTGACTAAAAGAACAGCCATCCCAGTGTCGATTGAAACATTTTATGACGTGACAGGTGCAATGCTTCAAGCCCGCTTACGTTTTCTGACTTCGGAATCTACTTTGCTTGCCCCCGCCAGAGCTGCCTCTAGCAGCCTAACCTCCTCGCGCGCTTCTATCAAGCGCAGCTCCAGCTGCTCCTGTAATGTCGCGAGCCCATGAGATTGCACTGCCGGCATTTGCACCGTCATGCCCGCAGCTTGCACTGCCCACTCATTCTCCTCCCCCGCTAGCTGCGCCAGCTGCCGCTCCTCCCGTTCCCTCTCTTCTGCGATCTTCTGGTTGACTGCCACCTTGTTGATGGCCACCATGGCACTCTTAGCGTACCGCACACGAGTGGCCGCCAGCCTCTTCGCGATCTGGTCAGGCTGGTGCTTGTCACCCCTCAACAGCTCGGGCATCGTGCAATTCACGAGAAGCTCTAACCCTTTCTTGAAATCTTGGCCTGGCTTTATGCGGACTTTGTTGTCTGGATTTGCCTCGGGAATGGGGATTTCTAGGAATCGGAGATAGGGGGTAGTGAAGACAGTCCCTGTCATGTTCTCAATCTTGTCTGGGTCGCACAGCTCATCGGGAATGAAGGTTGCTGCTCTCAATCCCCCTTCCCCATCAACTGCGAGGTTCGTGGCGCTTGCCATGTGCCGGGCATCTTCTGCCTGCTGCAAAGGGGTCCCCCACAGGGCCCGCATGTTGGCTGCTACAAACCCGACGACCTCCTTGACGAGCTGTTTCTCTACAGCCCCATCCCCGTTGATCGACGCGAGCTTCGCCTCGCAACCACTTTTGCGGAGCCACTTGTTGATGTCAGGCACATGCTGCAAGAAGCAATTCTCCTGCTCCCCCGAATATCTGGCCGGGATTCTGATGGGCAGTTCGTGCACGACTGAGCGAAGGGGAACTAAATCACGGACATTTGTCGTGACTTTTGTAGGGCGCACGGCTTCCGAAGGCCCGGCACCCGTCCTGGTTGGGCTACTGTGATTGCTTGCCCCTCTCTCATTCCTAGAGGAGTATTCCTCTTCATCGAACTCAAAGGCTACAGCATTAGTGACAGACTCTGACTCAGCAATGTACGCACCATTCTCACTGCCTGTGAGTGATACCGCAAGGTGCAACCAAAAATGGTGCATAGCCTGCAGTGTCGCTTCGTTGATGTATACAAGAACAGCGTCAACTTCTGTGGTCTTTTCGAGCACTTTCACGCCTGCAAACTTCCAGATATCTTCAGACAGGGGCGTGGAAGGAAACCTGTTTTCCGGTTGCGTAATGTTGCCGTTGTAGTAGCCATAGACTACAATCTTCTTGAAGAAATCTTCTACCTTTTCTGCAAATGTCAACTTTACGCTGAGCCCAGTCTTTTGCCCTTTCTCAAGGTCCTTGTAACCCATTTGAAGAGCAGAGCCGCCTGTCCCTTCCCCTGCCCTCAAACTGCCCTGTGCTCATATACAGCTATGAATTTAATTGGCACTAGGAGCCAGCAAGCCATATACTGTAAGGCCGTTGTAACTTCATTTCCGGTTTCCTGTCCACCCACTCCGGGGGTGGGTCGGTCGGTCGGAAGAATTTGATGAATACCGTACCGATATTTCTTTTCGCAGGGAAATACTTCTTGTTACCTTGGTGCGAAATTATTGCTCGTCTGAAGATTTAAACATACGCACTACAATATTAACCTAAGCAGGAACTCTACCACAGTAACCTGGTTATTTTGTCTGGTTAGGGTTTGGTGCGAATATTTTGAATGTCCGAAAATATTCGCACGTGCGAAAACAGCAAGTTCGGCATTAAATTTTGGCCAGTGGGAGGGCGCCACGGTAGCCCCCCGGCCCAGAAAGGTTGCAGGTGGCTAGGTGAGGGGTTCAACCCGGTCGAAAGCTCTTCGGATTCACGGTATGGTTGACTGGGACCACCCGAGCACTCACTTAAGGACAAATTTGCGAATATTCTGCCTTTTGTTCCTAAGTGGGTAACATACATACATATTTACTAAAAGTCCCAAAAGAAAACAAACTGTACTGTTATCTGTTATAATTTTCTTCTGAAAAGTCGCATTTAATGTACATGAGATAATTTATGGTATGGCCTTACTACCTACATACATATTCGCAACACGCCCCAAAGGGGAAAGTCTTGTACTGCTAATCTGTTATAATTTTCTTCTGAAAAGTCGATTATAATATTTACTACCGTTCCGACTTTTGCTTTCGTCCAAAAATAAATAATTATCCTGGCTGCCGAAAATTTAAGGATATTATTTATCTTCCACGCCGAAAGGTCAAAATTCAAATAATCAGTGATATTGGTCGGTTGTGCTGCCCAAGAGTCACCCCCTCGCGGACAGTGCCACTTCGTCATCCCCGGCTGTACGCGAGCCCGCGCGCGCGCGGAAGGAATTTCGCGCGGCGGCCGGCGACCGAGAAGATATTTGGGTGGCGTTCAGGCGTCGACGGCGACGATGAAGACCACCAGTAGTTAGAGTCGTAGATTTGGTGCTAGTCCCGGTTCTGCGGGATAG